TTGCTCTGAGCGGTAAATGAGCAGCCGTGACTTGCGAAGTGTAGAAATCCCGGCCATTTGTCTGTCCAGCCTGCATCACTTTCTCTTCTCCTCCTCGGTTCCCGTCTTGTCCCTGAACTCCCAGTGTGAGGAGTCGGAGAAGGGGCCGCGGGGAAGAGTTTCCCAGGGGGTCGGGGTGCGGGTCTGCAGGTCCTGGAGCCAGATCCTCTGCCTCGGAGGTGCAAGGGACAGTAAGGTGCTGCCCCTGTGGGCAGCAAGGCAGGCAGCTCTGGAGCCCACGACGGCCCAGCACAAGTGAGCGACTGGCCCGAGGCTGGGCCTTTGTGGGGCCTTGGTGCTGAGCCACCAGCAGCGCGGGCGCCCCAGCTCACGGCGCGCACGGCGGAGGCGGAAGGTGCGCTTGGGCTGCACGCTCCCTCTGGTCACGCAGGCGGCTGCCACTAGAGGGCGCCCACGCGCGGCGGTGACGCCCGCGAACAGCCCGGCCTGGGGCTGGGGCGGAGCTCGCGGTCTCCCCGTCTCTCCTGTCAGTTTCTCTTTGGCACCTCAGTTTTTCCTCATTTTTCCAGGGCCGAGATGGCGCCCAGGGCGTACCACATCTAAAAAAGCGCTTTGCCGCCGAGCCACACCCAGCGGCTCAGGTTTTGGGTTTTTTTAAAAAATATTTTTTTGTTATTTGAACAAAACTTAATTAGTTTCTGTAATCAGACCCCGGGGATAAGACTATTGGTATTTTGGACCAGTGCTTTCCCTCTGCACAAATGGGACAAAAATAAGTGTGATATTTCTAGGCCAGCATGGCGTGTAATTTCTGTACAGTTCAGCTCAATATGTAAATTAGGATGCTTTTTTCCATTGACTGCACACCTAAGGTTTCATGTGCATATGCATACATACATACATAGAGAGACAGGCAAACATGCATGACAGCGCTGTGTTGTGCATCAGTGGTAACAACAGCGTTTTCAAGTTCCTCAGTCATCTGAACAAAGTTGTAAGAATACCCAGCATACTCCATTTAAAAAAAAATAGTGTTTGGTAATGCACACCTGTAACCCCAGCAGTTAGGAGGCTGAGGCAGGAGGATCACAGTGAGTTTGATGCTTAGTTGTGGGAGACAACTGGAGTGACTCCTTGAATACAGAACAATTGCTGTAACTTTGATTATATGGAGACTGAGTTCCTTACACTGATATGTACAGAGCTGGCTATGGTATTTCCTTCTCTCTTCAGTTAGCTCTAAGATTGCAAATAAGGCTAAGGAGGTACTGGTATGTAATCTCTAAAGCCCACAGACAGTCTCCTGTCTCCTCACATGGCGTGTAAAGGATATGAGCACAGCGGGGTGGTAGAGTCATCAGCTCCAGGAATGTCAGCTGGGTAGGAGCTCAAGGTAAAGAAGCTGTAACTCCCCAGGGCACAAAAGCTTATATATCAGAAACCAAAGCAACAGCCTCCTCAGACAATTCTTTTCCTGCCTTAGTTGAATTATGCAAATTGATCTTCTGCATATCCTTACCCCTCTGCATTTTGCAGAGATGCTTTTCTCCCCACCTGGCCAGCCAGCTCAAGTTTCGTAATTCCCGCCATCCTCGCTGTCACTCATCCCTGAGCCACCCCCTTCTTCACAGGATTATTATCCTGGGAGAATGCTGGGAGAGGCCTAGGATCAGGACCTTTGTCTGTGCATCCTCACAGGGATTGGATGTAGGACTCTTGGTTCCCCGTAACTTGGAACATGTCTTGGTATTTTTACTCGCACCAAGGGTTGCATTGGAGGTGACAGAAAGGAATTAACTTGCTGAGATTCCAATAATGTTTCAATGGAATTACAAACTTTTTGGATTGTAAGGAAGACTGGAAAAGGGAATTTCTATACTTGGATAACTACTCAGTATTTGGGATTACAATATTAGTGAGTTCTACATACATACATACCTACATATGTAAGTTATTTTACTTTTTTTATTTTTGAGAGGGTCTCGAACTCTTGGTGATCCTCCTGCCTCAGCCTCCTGAGTGCTGGGATTATAGGCGTGCACCACCATTCCTGGCTTTTACTTTAAAAAAGAAAATAAAAACCAAAACTCTAGAAAGCAGCAAAATTAGCTATATGTGTTATCATGTGCTCACCATCCCAGCCTTTCAGGAGAGGCTGAGGCAAGAAGATGACAGATTCAAGCCCAGCCTGGACAACTTAGTGATCCTGTGTCAGAATAAAAAAGAGGGCTGGAGATGTAGTTCAGTGGGAAGCCCTGAGTTCAGTCCCCAGTAACACACACACACACACACACACACACACACACACACACACAGACATACACGGTACAAGAAAACAGCCCAGCGTCTGCTGCTCTGGTACCTGGCGGTGCCTTCTAACATTAACTTCTCAGTCACCATCTGGACACACAGGGCTCTGCAGTTTCACCCTGGGAAGGGCTGGGAAGAGCCCGGCCGCTGCTCGATACAGGAAGCGGGAACAGGGTGTATTTGTAAGAATGAAATCGAAACATGCCTCCCAGATAGAGCAGGGAGCCACACAGAGCGGGGAGCCAGGGGTCTGCACCCTCAGCCACTCGGCCCCTGCTCACAGCGTCTCCTGCTGGATCCAGCCTGCACCTTGGTTCCCACCACTTGCTGCTCTGTGCACATCCTGGCCTCCTCCCACCTTGGTCCACCCAGCTCTCCTGCATTCCCCCGCCAGGCCTCTCGTCCTGTTGATTCAGGAAGCTTCTGGCTTGGGTTGTGAGGAGGGTTGCCTGGCCCAGACACAACGCAAAACACTGCCAAAAAAAAAGGTGGCTGTGCCTTTTGTGTTTTTGTTTGTTTTGAGGCAGGGTCTTTCTGTGCATTTTGAGGAGACTTTGAACTTGAAGCAGTCCTCTTGCCTCAGCCTTCCAAGTGCTGATGTTACAGATGGACTGCCACCCCCAGCCTTTGTGTCTGCACTTTTGCAAGGGTTGTATCTCTCTAGGTTAAATTCCTGGAAGTAGAATTTCCTCTTGGAATGGTGGCTCACACCTGTAACCATTACACTCTAAGAGACTGAGGCAGGAGGATCCATTGTGAGTCTGAACTCAGCCTCCTGTGCATCTGAGTGACCTTGGCTCAAAGTAAAACATAGTTTAAAAGGTGAGGGGCTGGAGTTGTAGCTCAGCACAAAGGCCTTGGGTTCAATTCCTATTACACACGCACACGCACAAGAATTTCCATTTCCACAATTAGGAGCCTGATCTTGGGACACCCTATACACTCTAGACAACCCTATACTAAGAGTTTTTAGGGTGTGCCCGCCTGGAAGGTGCAGGACCTGCCTTTCATTCCTTGTCCCATCTGGTGACAGGTCCCTGGCCACCCAGGCCCGCTCTCCAAGGACACACCTGGGCAGCAGCCACCGGCAGGTGCAGAGCTACCTGTGTCTATCACAGTGGCTGCCACAGGTGTGTGAAGACTGTCACAGACCTTGTCCCCTGCATATGGCTGTTTAGGGGACATTTTTGCTTTTCTCCTGACTTTCGCAGACAGCCCACTCTGTCCTCCCTGGGGCCCTGAAGTCGGTGGCCCTGGGGCTCTGCAGCTGGGAGGACTGGTGACCCCACTCCTGAGTGTTTCTGGTCTCAGCATGATCCCTGAACCTTCACTTGGGATGAGGAAGCCATGCAGGGCATTCGATGTGACTGTCACCGACCCCAGGGCTCTTTCTCATATCCTCATATTTAGGGCACGCGGTCTAGCTGCTGCCTGCTTGGTTCCTTTGGGGGCTGGAGGCGTTTGAAAGCAAGACCCAAAGCAGCCTCTGGGAGGGCTGGGTGCCAGCCCGGACCCAGGCCTCTCCTGCTGCGGTGTGAGGGGCCCCTTGTGGTTAGTGACAAGCTTTGCCTGCAGCCTAGCTGCAGAGGGCTCATTTGCTAGGGGCCTATGGAACCAAGAGCCCCACCCCACCCCCTCCCGAATGGGCGGTATGGGTCTGAGTCCTGGGTGCGTGGCTCTGGGCCCTCTGCTTGGCTGGTACCTACAAAAGCTGGCCAAAAAACAAACAAAAAGTATGTGTTTAAATTTTACAATGTATTACATGCACAATGTGTGTACCATTGTTGCCCCCTAATGGATGTGTTTTGAAATTTTGTTGTAGTTTTTTTCTTCCTCCTCCTCCTTTTCCTCTTTTTCTTTTCTTTTTATCTTTGAATATCTTTGAATAAAATGGGTTTGAAAAAACAAAATAGAATGAAATGTATTACAGTAAAAAGGCCCTGCTGCCCGGCCCCCTCGGAGCCTCAGATCCCCCAGACCCCAGCTCTTGCCGCTTTCTGAAGCAGCTCTGCAGGCTGCTGTGAGGGTCTACACAGGGTGAGATTTTAAAACTACAGTACAGGCTGCTGCCCGGTGCTGTCTGGGGAATAGCAACTCGTGATCATCCCACTTTATCAGGTCGGGCACCTCCCGCTCTTCCCAAAGTCCAGATGACCGTGGCAGGGAAACATTTTGGGTCCGTTTAGGACATCGAGGCAGCCCGTACAGTGCAACTAAAGACCCCTGGGGAGGGACTTCCGGAAGGGGCGGAGCGATGGATGAGTTGTGTTCACTGGGAGGGGAGGGTCCTGGGGAAGCCTGGCGCTGCATCTCTCACCATAAGACAGTAAAAAAAATGTAAGCACGCAATGTGTCTCCTGACCACCCTGCATGTGCTGCAGACCCAGGGCCACAGTCTCTTTGCAGTATGGGTCTGTCCCCTCCCCAAGAGCCCTGGGGACCAGCGCCAGGCAGGACCTGGCGTTGGCAACCTCTTTAAACACGTGGCCCTTAGGGAAATACATTTGAAAGGACTTTGGGTCTCCTTTGGCATAAGAGCAATGTCTGTTTGCAGCAGAAGCATCAGAAAAGGTGGGAAAAAGGGGAAAATGCCTCCACCGACCCAGCTGGATGCCTCAAGGCCCTAAATGAGTCACCACTGCTTCGAGGGGTCCCTGGCCTGGCCCTGTCTAACTGTGTCATGCCCGCAGGGAAGTCGCACCTGGCCATCGTGCAGAAGGTGAACAACGAGGGTGAGGGTGACCCCTTCTACGAAGTGCTGGGCCTGGTCACCCTGGAGGATGTCATCGAGGAGATCATCAAGTCCGAGATCCTGGACGAGTCGGACATGTACAGTGAGTTCCGCCCTCTCTGCGGCCATATCCCTGCCGGGCTGGCGCAGGATCCCTGAGCTTGGGGACATGGAGGCGGGAGCTGGGAGCTGTGGGAAGCAGATTCTAGAATGTCCCTCTGCTCAGGGAACCGAGTCCTCAGGTCCAGTCCTTGCTCTTGCAGCTGACAACCGAAGCCGGAAACGGGTGTCTGAGAAAAACAAGCGCGACTTCTCTGCCTTCAAGGACACTGACAGTGAACTCAAAGTCAAGATCTCCCCCCAGCTCCTCCTGGCTGCTCACCGCTTCCTGTCCACGGGTAAGAGGCACAGGAGGGCCTCTTCTGCTGGCCAGAGATGTCCAGGAGGAGAAGGCTGGACCTTGGGGTGCTTTCCCCGCAACCTCTGCTGGGAGGGAGTCCAAACGCCTCTCTCGGGGCTCCCCTGGCTGGCTGTTTGCTGGTGTGAACTTCCGGGGCAGACAAGCAGGTTTTGAAAATAATTGTTTGGAAGCTAGGCGTGATGGCATGTGCCTGTAATCCCAACAGTCAGGAGGCTGAGACAGGAGGATTGCTGCAAGTTGGGGTCATCCTGAACTACAGAACAGGACCGTGTCTCAGAAGGAGGGGCAGGAGGAGAACAGGAAGAAAATGAAAGAGAGATGGGTGGGCACTGGGAGCACCAGAGGGTTCCTTGCATCCCACACCCACCCTCCAGCATGGACAAGGAGAAGGGGCTCACAAGGCATGGCGTGCACCTGCCCTCTCAGCAGCCTGCAGAGCTCAGGGAACCCATGACGTCGTCCCACTACCTCCCTCCCCTCTGTGTGTGTCCTGTCTCTCCCAGGAATGGATCTCTTGATCAAAGCCATTTCTCTCTTCTCACCCCAATTCCAAGCTCCCCCAGTGAGAAACCGAGTGGCAACATAGGAAAACAGATGCTGAGCCCAGCATGGTGTGCACAGCTACAATCCCAGAACTCGGGAGGCTGAGGCAGGAGAATCACTTTGAGTTTGAGGCCAGCCTAGACTCCACAGCGAATTCAAGACTAGCCTGAACCCCACATAGTGAGACCTTGTCTCAAAAAGCCAAAAAGAAAAGAAAGGAAAGAAAAGAACTGCACCTGCTGACTCCCTCTGCTTCCTCAGGCCAGCTTCCATCCCAACCTTCACCTGCTGCAGGTGTGGCACTTCCGGTTGCCAATCTGCTGGGGGCATTAATGGGTTTTTGTTGTTGTTTTGTTTTTTCAGACAGGGTCTTGCTATATAGTTCAGGCTGCTCCTAAACTCACTACGTAGCCCAGGCTAGCCCTGAACTTGTGGTAGTCCTCCTGTCTCAACCTCCTGAGTGTTGAGATTACAGGCCTGGTTTGCGACATCAGCGTCACTGTGGGTTCTGTGGTAGTAATTACAGGGCCATCTGCTAAGCACTTTGCACACACTGAGAACACATCCTGCCACTGACCACACGTGCGCCCTGCGAAGTTGCCACCCCATGCACAGATGAGGACCTGAGGCCAGGCGAGCACTGGGCCAGTAGAGCTCTGTGCTCCGAGCCTGGGCAGGCACCAACTTCATTTTGGTGGTCAGAGCCACCCTGGCAGGGAGGCGCCCCTTTGGGGACAACTCATGCCACCTGGGGGTGCCATCTGGGCCCCATGTGAAGTCCCCTCTAACCTCCCCCAACAGAGGTGCCCCAGTTCAGCCCCTCCCTGATGTCAGAGAAGATCCTGCTGCGGCTGCTCAAGTACCCAGACGTCATTCAGGAGCTGAAGTTCAACGAGGACAATAAGTACTGTGCCCACCACTACCTGTATGCGCGGAACAGGCCGGCCGACTACTTCATCCTCATCCTGCAGGTGTGTAGTGGACGACCCGTGTCCCACCTGGCCCCTGGCCCCCTCGCTGTCACCTGCCCATGACGCTGCCCCACGTTCTCACAGGGAAAGGTGGAGGTGGAGGCCGGGAAGGAGAATATGAAATTCGAGACGGGCGCCTTCTCCTACTATGGGACTATGGCCCTGAGCTCCAGCTCCTCCGGTGAGTCCTCTGCCCACTCCTGGGAAGGGAACGGGTATTGCGGGGCTGGGGGAGGCAGCCGAGAGTCCACGTGGGAGGCCTAGAGAAGGCGGCCTGCAGGAGCACAGTGACCTGGTCCAGTGGCCAGAAAGGGCTCTGGGTAAAGTGCAAGTAGCAGAGGGGTCCTGAGTGTGTGTGGGGGCTCCCTGGGGGTCACTGGCTCCTAGCTGGGATGGGAAGTGGGAAGCCAGCAGTGACACACGGTGAGATTAGGATGAGGTGGCAGAGGCCGAGACAGGAGCCAAGAGCCGGCCAAGGCCTGCCTGCCTGGGTGTGTCACAGGTGACTTTGATTCACGGGTTCAGCCATTTGCCTTGGGGGCCAACCTGAAGGGTCCTGGGCTTCCCTAAGGCCTGTGGATGGCCCAGGGGAGGGAGCACAGCGCCCTCTGCCTCTGCAGCCCGGGTGGCTCAGGTGACACCAGTGCACTCTGGTCCTGCAGCCTGAAGGAGAGGACAGAGCCTCCTTTGTAGCTTGCCTGCGCTTGGGGGAGGTGGTGAGAGGTGTTAGCCACAGGTCCTGTGCCTGGTTTGTCACTGTCCCTTGACCAGAAGTAAGTTTTCATGCTGTGTTCCCCCCAGCCCATGAGCCTGGAGGGATATGGGGTCAGACATGGCTCTGAGAGAGCTCCGTGGACGCTGCCCAGATGCCTCTTGCCAGGGAGGACTTGGCTGCCTCTCCTGAGAGCACTGCACCGTCCAGTCAGGGAGGCTGCTTTGGAAGGGCTTTGGGGGGGCCGTGTCCTCCGGTGCTGCTGCAGGGTCTGCTTGAGCCCTGCACCCCAGGCCCTCAGAGGCCCTTGGCAGGGATGGCTGGGAGGAAAGGTGACTGCTCTTCTCGAACCCTGTGGGAGCATGGTCTTGTCCTTATCCTGTGGCCAAGTCCCGCCTCTGACCCCACCCAGGCCCCTGACCTCCTCCTCTTCTGCTCCAGTGCCTTCCACAAAGGGCTGGTGTCCGCCTGGCAAGCGGAACTCCCTGCTGTCCTGGCTCGCAGGTAACAGGCATGCTGGGGAAGTTGACACTGCCACCTGTCGTCCGAGCCATGCACTGCAGCCACATTAACCTCCTGAAACCCTGGGCATGCTTGGGGGCTGGCATGATCAGTGGGTCTGCTTGGCCTAGGGCCCAAGGCCCAGTTTTGGGGTATGCTGCCATGTTCTAGAAGGGCTTACCTGGAGGTCCTTCAGTCCTGGAGAAGGTGTAGACATGTGCATCCTGCCCCCAGGCAGGCAGACAGACACTTAGAGGACAGAAGGGGGGTGCAGGAGATGGAAGGTGCTCATTTGAACCTCTGGCCCCGCCATCTGCAAGCCCTGGTGCGGATGTCATGGCATCAGCTTTCTAACCGCTTCCTTCTGTCTGTCTGTCCCTGTGAGGTAGGGAGGGCAGGTGGAGGCTCAACCCTAGAGACCACCTGACTCCTCCTGTCTCAGCCTCCTCTCCTGGAGTCAGATGCAGACCCACCCCATAGCCCGAGGGGAACAGTGAGTGACAGAGCTGATGTCCCAGGAGTCATTGGGAGCTCAACTCTCAGGGTTCCTGTGTTTCGTCTGTGACCAGCACAGTGTGGTCTTCCAGGCACACGGTGTACACTGTCTGTGGCCTGGGCTGGGTCCCATTTCCATCACCTGTCTCAGGAAGCCCGGGCCAGATAGACACAGCCAGGGCGAGGTGGGCAGGCTCCTGCACGCTCCCCGCCACACCCCGGCCTACGCTGCTGTGCTCATGGCCTTGGTCCGGGTGTCTTTGAGCTCCGCGGGCCCTGACAGCTCTGAAACCTGTGGCCTCTGCAATCTCCCAGTTCATCTTTGCATAGCTGAGATTGTCTCTTTTCCTGCCCTGGTACAGGAGATTGAACCCAGGGCCAGAGCTCCCTAACCCTCAGCTCCTTTTTGCTTTTGAAACACAGTTTCAGTAAGTTGCCCAGAGTGGGCTCCTATCTTCCATCCTCCTCCTGCCTCAGCCTCCTGGAGTGCAGGGGTTACAGGCCTGTGCCACTCTGCTTGACATTGCAAGCATGCTGTACTACTTTGCCTTTTTAAAAAATAATAACTAAAAGGTAAATTAGAAGAATTCACCCACTGTCCTTTTCAAACCCTTCCAGAATGACTGTAGACTCTCTGCCTCTTGCTGTAAGCGTAGCCACCAGGGTTGATATGTTGACGTTCCCACCTAACACAGGAACATAAACGTGCCTGTTAGAGCACACAGTTCCCTTGCTAATTCTGTGTTTCATGAGTATTTATTGGAAGAGTCTTTATTACAGATGATTCTGTGACTTTAAAAAAAAATTTTTATAAAAACATTTTTCTGTGTTTAAGATTATACCCTTGCCAGGCATGTTGGTGCATACTTGTAATCTCAGAACTTGGGAGGCTGAGGCAGGAGGATCACTGAGAGTTCATTGCCAGCCTGGGCTTCACAGTGACTTCAAGGCCAACCTGAACTGTATAGTGAAACCCTGTCTCAGAGTAAAGAAAGAAAAAAGAAAAGTATTTATTGCTTTGTTTTAATTGTAAAAGCAACAGGTTATTTGGAAAACTGGGGAAATAGTAAAGTCTGGAGAAAATTGAAAAGCACCCTAATTTCATTACTCAGAGGCAGGATTCTGCTGTGTCTCTTTCTAGGGCTCAGTTCGGTATGTCAGCTCCCTGATTGTGTTGGTTGTAAATTCCAGTTCCCTGGGGTTGGGAGTGTGAGCCAGCAGCCCTGCAGCTTCTGCCTGTGTACAGCCTGGGTTCAGCCCCTCGCACTGCAGAGACAGAACAAGTCAATAAGTAAACTCACTTCCTAGGGTGTCAGTGTTAACTGCATCCCATGCTTCAGGTAACCAGTGTGAAATGCTACGTGATATCCCTACACTAATGTTTATGGCTTCATTTTTTAAAATTTTTCTTTCTAGAGCCTAATGAGAGAAATCACTAAGTCTGCTACTTTCATAAACCCTTCTAATAATCAGTCATGACTTCTTGTTGGGGGCAGTCATGGCTTAGTCACAGGACAGCCAGACTGCTTCCCAAATTTTATAAACAAAAGAAAAAGCAGAATCTGGCACAAGATAAAGCCATTCAGTTCAGTGTTCTGTGGTAAAAAGCTCCAGAGGTCACCGAGGGGCTGGGTGCATTGCATTTGCCACGTCCGCACGGTTGCTTGTTAGATTAGCTAACTTAGTAGTTGGTTAGTACCGTTACAGTCCACTAAAGCAAATCAGCTCCATGCACTTCCTGTTGGCTTAGGCAAGCCCACGTGGCCTCACAATTCATGGTTCTAAGCTCTCAAAACTCAGCCGAACAGTGCCTGGAAAGCGCGACATCATGAGTTCAATCCCTGGTACAACAAAACAGAAACACTCATAGCGGACCCTGTTCAGTCCCCGGCTGCTTTCCTCCATCCTCCTCTGAGTTCAGTTCACCACCATGTCAGGGTCTTCTGGAGGCCGGGGAGGCTGTACCGGCCCCATCCTGCACAACATGGGGACCACTGGGTGCTAGGATGGGGACTCGTGCAGATCTAGTGGGTGGGGTCACGTTCCCTGTGCTACATTCAGGCACAGCTGCAGGGATACCGTAGGACATGACAGGTGTGTGGGGCGTTCACAGGCAACAGTGTGGCTGTACACCCTTCCTTTCAATATACTGGGCCTTTTTTTTTAAGCGTTCAGTGTGTGTCCCTTGAGACCAGAAGAGTGGCTTGTCTGTTGTGTGAGGGCAATCATGGTGACTGATGACCCACTGGCATTGAATAAGTGGTTTCATAGCCTGCAGCTTTCTGAGTCTTAGGTTTATCTTTCTGGTTGCTTGGTTGGTTTTGGTGGCCGTTTTAATCCTTGTCATATGACATGTGAATGCACTAATCATCGGCTCCGAGGAGGTGAGACCCGGTGCAGGTAGAACTTCCGCGTACTTCTCTTGTGTCCCTGAGAACTGTGTCCTGCTCCTGGAGGGGTGCTGCGTGCAGGGCTGAGGTCAGGCAGGAGGTTGGTGTGGGTGCCGGTGTGGGCTTCCAGCCTGAAGGACTCTGCCATCCCCACAGACCACTCCCCAGCCCATCCCTCCACGCTGAGTCGCTCAGCATCCCTCAGCTACACAGACCACACCATGGACAAGTCCCCCACCAATGCGCTGACGGGCAGCAGCAACCAGCTGAGCACCTGCGTCCTGAGCCAGTATGTCTCCGACTTCAGCGTCCGGGCACTCACCGACCTGCAGTACATCAAGGTGAGCTGCCCTGGCCTCCCTCAGGCCAGCGTGCACCTTACTGGGTTTTTTTGAGACAAAGTCTCACTGTGTAGTTCAGGCTGGCTTTGAACTCACTGTGGAGCCCAGGCTGGCCTTGAACTTGCAGCCATCCTCCTGCCTCAGCCTCCCGAGTACTGGGATTACAGGTGTGCCTTGTTTACCTTGCTCTTTCTAAGGTTTCTGGGGGCCCCCACCTGTCACGCTGCACCCTAGGCTGGGTGTGAGGGCCCCTGACATCTTCATCGTTGCGCCCCCCCCCCCACAGGTCACTCGGCAGCAGTACCAGAATGGGCTGTTGGCTTCCCGTATGGAGAACAGCCCTCAGTTTCCCCTGGACGGCTGTACCACCTGCGTGGAGAGCGCCTCCGAGAAGTCCGAGCTGCCCGTGGCAGATGAGACCACCACTCTTCTCAAAGAACACAACTCTTTGCTACACAGAGCCTCCCTGGACAATGCCATCTGACAGGAGGGCCCGGGGTCCCCCGCCAGCCCCGCGGGGGCCTCCCAGTGGGCCCACACCAAGAGGGAGCCTATCAGGCTAGAAGGGGTGCAGCTCGGTGGCCTGTTACTAGATGGACAGTGTACGGCCCTGCAGGAACCTCCTGACAGCTTGGAGGTGGTGGCTGCCCTGCCCTGAGCCGCTGTGGCCATGGGACAGCTCTGAGAGTGGAGGCTGCTTCTCAGAGACTATTTCTAAACTATGCGAATTGCTCCTCTTTTTAAATACCATTTTGGCAAGGGAAGACAGGGTTAAGGAACTTTATGTAAAATAATTTTTTTTCCCAAAAGAAACTTCAGAAGAGGGGCATCCCTCCCCCCAGGAAGCAATAGCCATAATTTGTTCTCAGCTGTGCCCCACTGCAGCCTGTGTTCCTGCCTGGGGAGCTCACCCCTCTCCTGCAGCAGGGCCCAGCACCGGAGGGGAAGGCTGGCTCTTGGGAGGAAGCCAGGGACCAGATGGCATCACTGAAGCCTGGGTAGCTGTGATCAGGGACTGGGAACCCTCTTAGACCCAGGAAGCTCCCAGAACTCAGGCATTGACCCCCTGGGGAGCCCCCCTCTGGACTGCCAGTGCCAGGCAGGGTCTCTGGTTACCTTCTCTCTCTCTCTGCCCTCACTGTACCAAAGGCATCTCCCATTGTGGGGAGGGAATCGGGATTGGAGGTGACCTTTCTGGCATTCGCCTTGCGGTTTCTGGGGTGCATTTAGTCATAGGCCTCTGCGTCGTTGGCAGCTACTACTGCCCCCTTCACCCACACCCACAAGGAGTTGAGGCTCCATTCAAATTCCCTAGTCCTCATCCCCAAGCCTCAGTCCTCCTTGAGGGCTGGGGACCTGAGGACATATTAGAAGCCTCCTACGCCCTTTCCTCAGTGACTGCCAGGGGCACACTGAGCTCCTCCTCTTCTTCATGGAGCCCAGGAAAGGAGGGTTCCAGCTGAAGGGGTGCAGCTGGTATGCCCGAGCCCCAGGGTGAAGCCCCGTGGAAAGTGTACCCCATCCTGCCAGTGTGAGATCTATCCAGGCACTTTTTTCTGGGCCCAGTGAGTCCTGCTGCAGAGCACCAGGCTTCTGCTGTGGGGTGCTGGGGAGTGGGCCAGGCGAGGGAGACCCTGCTGGCTTCCGCCCGAGTGGCATTTCTTCACTCCTTTCCTTGGCCACGGGAGTCCTGTCACCCCAAGAGCTCTGCTCTCCAGATGCCCAGAGAACCCCAGCTCCTGGGACGGAGCCCAGCATGCCTGCCCCCTGGCAACACCGAGGTCTTCCCCAGGCGAAAGCCTGGAGAAAAGGCGATGGTCCCTATGGGTTCTCACGCATTGGGAAGCAACAGTACCCTGAGGTCCTGCAGGAAGCCCTCACTTTCTACAAGAGCAGCTCCCTGGAATCCTAAGGAGCTGGTGGGGCTGGGTCCTGAGAGCCCTGAGCACCTGTTGGAAACCATGCCATCCCCACCTGGTGGGTGTGTGAGGCAAAGCAGGCATACCTGCCCCCACAGCTACCTCTGCACACGCATCAGCTACCAACAGACGCCCCCACACTCTCCCACTCAGAATCACTTCTTCCAGAGGGTCATGATTATTTCCAAATATTACTGGTCCGATGACTTCCTCCTCTCAGTACAGCTTTTCACTTCCTTTGACAACCTTAGGTTCCTGGGCTGAGCCGTACCCTGGACCTGGCACGCTGCTCAAGTCTTCCTGGCTCAGGGGGACCTTCATACATGGCATCCAAATGGGTAGGCAAGTCACAGCCACCGTCACAAATGACTCCTATTTATTTTGCATAAGATTTTAATTTGTATATTTTTGTGATTTATTTTGGCATTGTTATGAGTTTGACTCTCGGGGAGTTTTCTTGTTATGACTCTTGTGTCTTTTGTCACAAAACAATGATAATATTTGCTAAACAATACATGGAATTTATTTTTGATTGGTAATAAAAAATGAAATATGTATAAATTTCTGTGAGGATCCATTCTGCATGTCTGAGTGCTGCCCATATTCACAGTCTACGGCAGGGACAGATGTGACTGTGGCTGGCTGTTGCATGGTGACAGGACAAGGGGTAATAAAGCCTTGTGAGAGCATCTAGTGAAATGCAAGCAGAACCACAATCTACAAAACATGTATAATCAAGATTGTTGTCGCAGGAGTTGGGCAGTAGTGGCCACAAGAAGGCAAAGTTCTCCTGCCACCGGCCAGAGTCCTGGAAACTTGGGCCAGTGGGGACTGGAGAGAACAAGTCATCCCCTTCCCTCTGGGATGGAGGGATGAACAGATCAGCTGCAACAGTCGGATCATGTTACTGGGCATCCTGTGCTCCAGCACCGGTGTACTTGCTCACCTGGCCTCTTCGCCAGCACTTACTGCTAGATATTAAAATACAGACCCGTGTACTTCCTGTTGTCTCAAAACTAGAGCCTAAGCAAGGACTTTACGTCCTTTCCAACACGGTCCCCGGTACATCATAGGCAGTCAATGCAGTTAGTACCTGGACAAGCATTGGATGCTGGGGAACACGTAGTTCCCATAACCTTGACCCAACCAAGTCAAAATAGCTAAGGAAACTGGACCTGGTGGCACAAGCCTATAATCCCAGCACTCAAGAGGCTGAGGCAGGAGGATTGCTGCTAGTTCAAGGCCAGCCTGAACTGCATAGTGAGACCCTGTCTCAAAAAGAGAAAAACAAAAGATGGCTAAGGAAAATCACTTGCAGGAAGGGGCACTTAGGGATAAGCAGGAGTTAACCAGTGAGATAACGCTCAATAGCTCAAAAATATTTAAGGCAAGTGTGATAGTGCACACCTGTAATCCCAGTACTTGGAAGGCTGAGGCAGAAGGATCACTGCGAGTTTGAGACTAGCCTATGGTACATTGTGAGTTCAAGTCCAGTTTGGAATACGTATTAAGATACTGTTTCAAGAAACAAATAACATTAAAAATGTAGAGGAAAAATACAGAAACCATGTGATCCCCACACTGTTAGAAAAGCCTTCTTAGCAGTTGACCTATTTCCTTCCAATCGCAGATCACACCCACAGTTTTCTAAAGTAACCTCGGGGAATACCTTTCTGAATAGCTCTGCTTGGTCCTGAGGACTCTTCCTCCCAAGCACTGGAGTGAGCACATCCACGGCTGCCTTGTGTGATGACCAGGTCGCGTTGGAACCCAGCAGCCTCACGGAGCCTGAGCTGTACTGCTTTCCCGGAAGGTGTTTGTGACACGGAGCAAAGCGAGCATTCAGTGAGCTCTGCGTGCTTTGCGCGTGTGCTGGGGTGTCCCCGTCCGGACCCCAGTTCGGCGAACACAGGAGCTGAGTCCTCGACATCCCCATACCTAAACTTAAGCTTTGGGACGCCCAGGCACTCCGGAGATCTCACTCGGCCCTCTTGGCTCTGCAGGTCTGGGGGCCAAAACCTCTCCGGCTCCTGCGGCCCTTTTCCACGAAGCTAGCAGCCCTCTCACACCTCTACACCCCAGTGGATCATTTTCCCGGCGCGGGACACTGAGCCTCCCCTGCCCCACGCCCCCACCCCGCACCGAGCCGCTTGTTTACTCCCCGGCGCAGCCTAGTACGACCCCGGACCCGCCCCCTCTCACTGCTTATTGGCCTACGGCACGCGAATATCGGCAACGATTGGCCGGGGAGGCGGCGGCGCGGGCGAGCGGGATAGGTTGCGCGGGAGGCTGAGCGGGGGCAGCGGGCGATGGCGACCGCGGGTCGGTTAGGTTGGGTGATCGCCGCGCTCTGCCTGGGGAACGCCGCGGGGGAGGCGGTACAGGGCCCGCGAGTGCTGGGCTTGTGCCTGGAGGAGGAAGGGACAGAGGGCGCGGGCTGGGCCGCGCCGGACGCCACTTTATGCCTACGCCTCCTCGGCTCAGGCTTCGCCAACAGCTCCTGGAGTTGGGTGGCCCCCGAGGGCGCAGGGTGTCCCAAGGGCGGACGGGCTGTGGCGCCCGCGGGCGAGTGGCGCGCGCTGCTGTGCTTGGAGCCGGGAGGCGCGGCGGTGGCGGCGGCGGCGGCGGCGGCGGAGGCGGAGGAGGAGGCGGCGCCGCCCTGGGCGCTGGGCCTGGGGGCGGCCGGGCTGCTGGCGCTCCCGGCGCTGACGCGGGGCCTGCAGCTGAGCGCCCTGGCGCTGGCGCCGGCCGAGGTGCAGGTGCTGCGCGAGAGCGGCTCGGAGGCGGAGCGAGCGGCGGCGCGGCGCTTGGAGCCCGCGCGGCGCTGGGCCGGCTGCGCCCTGGGCGCGCTGTTGCTCCTGGCCAGTCTGGCGCAGGCGGCGCTCGCGGTACTGGTGTACCGCGCGGCGGGGCAGCGCGCCGTGCCTGCCGTACTGGGCTGCGCGGGGCTTGTGTTCCTGGTGGGCGAGGTGCTGCCGGCCGCCGTGAGCGGGCGCTGGGCACTAGCGCTGGCGCCGCGCGCTCTCAGCCTCAGCCGCCTGGCCGTGCTGCTCACGCTGCCCGTGGCGCTGCCCGTGGGGCAGCTGCTGGAACTGGCGGCGCGGCCTGGGCGGCTGCGCGAGCGCGTGCTGGAGCTGGCGCGCGGCGGCGGCGATCCCTACGGAGACCTGAGCAAGGGTGTGCTGCGCTACCGCACCGTGGAGGACGTGCTCACGCCGCTGGAGGACTGCTTCATGCTGGATGCCAGCGTCGTGCTGGACTTCGGCGTCCTGGCCAGCATCATGCAGAGCGGCTACACGCGCATCCCAGTGTACGAGGAGGAGCGCTCCAACATCGTGGACATGCTGTACCTCAAAGACTTGGCCTTCGTGGACCCGGAGGACCGCACGCCTCTCAGCACCATCACCCGTTTTTACAATCACCCACTCCACTTTGTCTTCAACGACACCAAGCTGGACGCCGTTCTGGAGGAGTTCAAGCGAGGTAACCGAGCGGTTGGATGTCTGTCTGGTGCTGTCCCCCGAAAGGGGTGAGGGAAGTGGAAGCCTCGAGGAACTAGGTGGTGAGCCTTGCACTTGGGAACGAGGTTTTGACGTGTATGTAGACTTCTTCCTAGGCTGCTGGAGGCAATGCCATCGGAAGAAATACCTTACCCTCTCCTTAGGCATAGCCCCTCACTCAAGGGAGTGACCTCCACTTGGCCCGTCCCTCCAGCCTCTCTTCTCTCAGGCCACTTCTTCAGCGATAGAAACTTGAAGGGCAAAAAGTAGTCTCGGTATAGGCAGCCACCACTACTTGTGCCCATTTGTTAGCAAATGAGTCCGAGTTTCAGTCCCTGATTGGTTGTTGCCTTTCCTGACTGCAGATGAGGGGTGACTCATAGACAGCGGACTTTCACTTTGGTTTTGCCAAAAACAAGTTTACCGATCCTGGCTTAATCTTTGCCTTCCTTTCTTTCTCTTTTTAATCACCTCAGAAAGTCTCCTGATTCACCCTTAATTCTGCGTGATCGCTTGGTCATTTTGCCCTCCTCTGTCTGAGCCTTTCTGCCTTGTGTGTGCTGACAAACCTGAAAGCTCAGGTCCTCAGAGTTGTCCTTCCTGGGGGCGTGACACCCAGCTGCAGGCTCCTGGACCCACAGCCCTGAGCTCCAGCAGGGTGCTGTGTGGATTGACCATAGCAGCTAGGGATGGGGAACGGAGAACTGGGAAGTGGACTGGCTCCAGGTCTGCATGGAGGTTCCAGTGAGCCCCTGGATGGGGCAGGAAGGAGGCTTTCTGATCTTGTCCATGCTTCTCTTGTCTTTGTACACAACTTTGGGCCAAGCCTCATCTCTTAACTGCATGTGGCCTGGGGTGGCTCAGGTCAGGTAGGACCATTGTGTGGGAGGCATCTCAGGTGTGCCTGGCCACTTCTGCAGGATGCGGCCCTGCAGGCCCTCTGGAGAGCAAGCAGGCACAGAGCCTTGCTGGTGCTAAGTGTGTCTTCAGGGCTGCCCCAGCCCCCAAGCATGGTAGCCCTTGTAGTGGCACTGTGGCCCTGGAGTCACCTGGGTGGATTCCCTCTGACCCTCTTGAGCTCCTAGACCCTGGGCAGCTGCACAGCCCCTTAAGTCCTTGGCTGCTGGTGTGGAGATGACCCAAGAGCCGGTAAAAGGATCTGGGGCAAGAGGTGTAGGAAGAACCCAGGGGCCCCGATCCTGGCTAGCAGAGCAGTCTTCGCCCCTGCAGCATGGTAGATGCTTTAAGTGCGAGTTCCATGTCTTCCAGAGTGGACGCCGGCCTTTCTCCTCCTCGGGAGTAATGTGGAAACCATCGTGGTCCCTTGGGTGCTGTGAGCCCACCTGTCTTTGGGTTCGTGAGGAAAGTGTTCACTGTGATGTGGAGTCTCAGCTGGGCGCTTGAGTTCTTTGCTGTGCGTGGTCCCTGCAGGAGATTCAAGGCAGTAGTGGTAGAGGGCTGCCCCTGGCTGGACCTGAGCTGCTTGGTCAGGATGTGTAGGATGAGGCTGGCAAAGCGGCTTGTGTTTCCCAACTCTGTGTAGCAGGTCTTCACTTTGAAGGTGCAGTTGAGCTTGGGCCCAGGGCTGTTGAGGATCCCAGATGGGCAGCATTAAGACATTCACAGTGGCAGGATGGGCAGGTGGTAGGGGACAGACTGTGGGACTTGAGGATGTAAGTGGGACTGAGACTCAATCACCAGACAGTGGGCAGTGTGGCACCATCCGGGCTGACAGTGGCTGGTATGGGCAGTGTGGTGAGGGGCCCAGCTGAGACCTGGCTGAGGCACACAGTGGCCTGGGGAGGACGTGTGATGGGGGCAGGCACCAGGAGGTAGAATAGGGACAATTGCTGGTTGGCTGAGGGACGGTAGTAGGAGAAGGGAGGGCTGAGGATGAGGCCCAGGTTTCTGCCTTTGCTGAGAGCCACGATGAGCCGTCTTAGGAGGCAGACTCCCAGCAGGCAGCCAGTGTGAAATGCAAACCTCTGGGGTCCCAGGAGGGGATCGAAGTCTGAAGCCCCGGCCTTGCCCGACACCCCAGCACAAGTGTATGAGGTGCACAGCTGGGAGCCTGGAGAAGCTGCAGGAAGAAGTAGGATGTCCTGAAAGCTAAGGGAAGAGACCACTTCCCAAGGGGAGTCGGGGGCATCTGTAGAGGAGGCAGCCACCAGGATGCCCATGACTGTACGGGGCAGATGCAGCTTGGTGGCTGGACAGGACAGCAGGACATGGAGATGGAGGGGAACTAAGAAGGACAGGTATCCAGCAGGCTTGGCAGGGGGATGCAGCTGGGGTGGTGCCTCCCTTTAGGTTGCAGGACAGGCCCCGGAGCAGGGCTAAGTTGACCTGTTGTTGACAGGAAAGAAGGTGTGGTGGACAGGGAAGCTGCAGTGCAGGGAGCTCCTGCTCTTGAGTGATGGCCTCTGAGTGGCTGAGAGCAAGCAAATGCAGGCAGCCTGGCGTTGAAGGGCATTTGGGGATCCAGTGCCCAGAAGCTGCCTGGCAGTGAACTCATTTCTGTACACGGATGGCCAGTGGGGGTCCCACCAGTGGCCCTTGGCTTTCCTCATCCCTGTGGTGCATGTGGGTCGCCCTGGGGGCAGAGTGCCTATGCTTCTCCAGGAAGATCTGGGAGCTGTCATGTCTGTCTCTCTGCTGACACTGGCAGATCGCTTCATTTTTCTTGGTGTGAGTCCTGTTCCTTTTGGTTTAGTCTAGTTTGTTTATTTATTTATGTATTTATTTATTTATTTTGGTACCAGGGATCAAACTCAGGACCTTGCACTTGCCAGGCAGGCGCTTGTGCCACTGAGCTAAATCCCCGCCTCCCCGCTTTTTTTGAGACCAGGCCTCACTACTTTGCTATGTAGTTCATGCTGACCTTGAACTCACTATATAGCCCAGGTTGACCTCAAACTGGTGGCGACCTTCCTGCCTCAGCTTCCCAGGAGTTGGGATTAGGGTTAGTACAGATGTACTTTACTGTGCCTGGCTTGTGTGAGTGCTGTTTGTTGTCCTGACCTTTTAATACAGTACGAGCCTTATGCGCAAGTGGCTCATTGCAGTCTTCTTGGCACAGGACTCTTCAAATCCATTCCCTCACCATCTCTTTGCCAAGCATCTGAGACTCTGGTACCCTCGAACTTCCTGGCGCTGGAGTGCAGGTGTCGTCTGGGGCGCTGCTCCTCTGTGCGCCCTGCAGCGCAGACTCAGATGGCACAGCAGTTATTTCTCGCACAGGTCAGAAGGGAGAGCACTTCAGAGCTAATGAGTGACTTGTGTTTTCTACAAAGCCTCGGACCCAGGTGCCTCCTCCAACCCCCAATGAGATTCCAAGCAAGGGAAGGATCGGGTGTGGGCTCTGCAGAGTCCTCTCCTGACCAGCTGAGCTCTGACTCATCATCCTATCAGAAGCCAGGTGACTGCTGCCGAGGAGACGCAGAGCTGCTCAGACATCAGCTGTGCACACACAGTGGATGACAATGTATGTGGGGGGCCCTGGCTTCCATCTGGAAGCCAGCGCTGCAGAAGAACAAAAGCAAAAATAACAAGGGAGTCAGCCACAGCGGTACCTCCCTGTTTTCCTAGCACTGGGGAGGCTGAGGCAGAAGGGTCACCATGAATTTGAGGTCAGCCGGGGCTACACAACAAGACCCTATCTCAGAAAACAAAAGCAAAACCAGACAGGGCAGAAAAAACCAAACCCTACATTTTTAAAGGTAACATAAACGCCGACATGGTGCTGCATGTCTGTAATCCTAGCACACTCCAGAGGCCGAGGCAGGAGGATGGCAACTGTGAGCCCAGACTGTATAGCTTACAACTTGTCTCAAAAACAAGGGCTAGGGGTGTAGCTCCTATGGTGGCACTGGGTGCAATCCCCAGTACTTGCCCCAAAATCAGAAAAGGATGCTGTAAGGCTGGGCACCATGAAGGAGTCCTCCACCATCCGTAAGTGGAGTGCTATCGAGCCTTAGGGCTGAAATGCAAAGCCTGGAGCTTTTCCAGGCTTTCTGATTATGTCGCCAGGTTGTGCTTGTCACACCTGCCCATGGTCTGTGGAGCTGCTGTGAGCAGGTGGGTCCTGTTGCAAGGAGGGAGTGAGGGAGACTTTAGTCTCTGGCCACAGTCTCTGTTCCCTCTGGACACCCTCAGACACCGTGTGCAGAGATGGTCACCTGGCCACTGCACAGGGGGATCTTCCAGGAGCCCTGCCCCTTCCCGTCCTCACTGGGCCATCCCAGAGCGGCAAGTCCCAGGGCACATGTAAGCCTGTCTCACCACAGTTCCAGACCAAGGGAGAAGTTAGTCCCTTTCCCTTGTGGTAGGTGACCAGCCAGAGGGACAGCTTCCTGGGAAGGGACCGAGGCAAGGGGAGGCCTCTGGACAGAGGCTGCTGTGCAGAAGCCGGACTTTGGTTTCAGGAATCACAGGCTGCTGACCAGAGCCTTGTGTCACACCCTGGGTGGGCTCTACAGGTTTGGGTTCTGCCGTGGAGCCCTTGTGGCGATGGCACCTGTGTGCCATTTGCAGCACAGTCTCCAAGGGTTGGGAGGCTCTAGGGGCATCTCAGCCAGTGACCCCACTTGGCAGGTCTGAGCAGAACTCTTCAGGACCCTTGGCCTTTTACTTCTGCAGTGGGGAGGTGACCGGAAGTGCTTGTTTTTACCTTTATTATATTTGTCCAGGGCTATTTGAGTGCCCTGAAGAACGCTGCTTTCACTAAACCCAGAGGTTGTGAATTAATGATTTGTACAAAAACAAGAACTTAATTTTCTTACTTTCCCCAAAGATTCTTGGAGCCGATGCCATTCATGTGCAGGTCAGGGGCCCAGCTTCCACCCTCACTTTGTCACTGGTGATAGGAAAACGTGTCTTGGTGCCCGGTCCAGCAGCTTCTCTGTCCCAGGGTGGCAGGGCACTTGATGGGGTACATGTGTGAATCGGGGTACATGTTAAGTAGCAAGCACACCCCAGATTTTAGAGCCTTGCTAGAAAGAGAGCAAGATGCTTTTTTACTGTTTTTTTATGATACTTGTCAAAAGGAGATTGGGACTGTACCGGGTTACCCAGAATAAGTTGCTAAACTTTGGTTTACTGTTTCTTTTGATGTTTTTAACACACTACTTAGAGATTGTAAACTACAAACAGGCTGTCTGTCTGTCTGTCTTGCTCAGAGAAGCACTTCCGTCAGCAGGGAGAACTCCTAGAGTTCACCCAGCACCCTGAGCCCCAGGCTCTGCTCTAGCTCGCCTGTCCCTATTAAGACCAGATAGGAAGATGACATGAGAGAGACCCTGGAGCAAGGGGACAGCGTGGTCTGTGGCTCCCCCTCCTCACAGTTGGATCCTTCACACCCATTTCCCACTTCCCCTTCCCCTGGGTGAGCCCCAAAAGGGCAGCCTGGGGACTGGGGAAGCCCCGCACGGAGAGTCAGGCTGGGGCTGTCCCCAAAACCTGTGTTCCTGGAATCTGTCCACAGCTCAGAGTCAGACAGACCCGGGCCACGTACCAGTCGCTGTGAGGACCCCACCCAGCGTGCTGACCACCAGGCTCCAGGGAAAGAGTGGGACTTAGTTCCTGGCATGGGTGTTAACTTCTGTCTGTGTGCCTGGCTTACACGAGACAGCCAGAAAAGCAGGGTGCCCTGAAAGTGATAAATGAGGATCCCCTGTCCACAGGAAAGTCACACCTGGCCATCGTGCAGAAGGTGAACAACGAGGGTGAGGGCGACCCCTTCTATGAGGTGTTAGGCCTGGTCACCCTGGAAGACGTCATCGAGGAAGTCATCAAGTCTGAGATCCTGGACGAGTCTGAAGACTACCGTGAGTATAGATGGCCCGGCCGCCGAGCCTGGGGTTCCGTAAGGCCATCTTGTGCTCCGTCTCAGGGCTCTGCCCTTCCTGGGCTGTTCCCTTTCCTTCTTTCCTGGTTCCTTCTCTGGCCTAGGCTCTTCTGTGCATTACGCAGGTGGCCTTTGAGGACCCACTCTTGCCTTGAGCATTTGCCTTGTAGGTCCTGGCTCCGGCTTCTCTTCCCAGCCCACAAACACGAACACATCCTGTCGAGGGTGACTCAGTGGAGGGTGGAGGGTTCTGGAGTCCTTGAGCCTGGCTTTCTGCTCTCGGTGCTACCCTAGGCCCCAGGATTGTCATGGGGCAGCCCTGGTAGTCAGGCACTGTGGAGGGAGCTGGACCCAGCACGTGGCCCTGGGGCCCTGACCACACCCCCTGGAACCTTGTGGGTGCAGGGCCCTCGTTTACTGTGTTTGGGCACTGACGCCTGTACCTGCTTCATTTAGGAGACATCACAGTGAGGAAGAAGGTGGCCTCCCTGGCCATCCCTCCCAGGCGCAGGGAGGAGTTCTCCCTATTCAGGGTGTCCGACGAGGAGGACAAAGTGAAGATTTCTCCCCAGCTGCTCCTGGCCACCCAGCGCTTCCTATCTCGAGGTGAGGTGAGGGGAAGTTCCTGGCCTCGGTGGCCCTGAGCATCCCGGCTGGCTCTCAGGCGTGGAGGCGCTAGGGCCAGAGGGGAGAGCCCATGAGGGTGACAGCAGCCAGGGTGGGGACCGAGGGCATGTGAGCCCTGGAGGACGCTGTCCCTCTTCCTGCCGCGGGGCAGAGGTGGACGTGTTCAGCCCGGCACGCATCTCAGAGAAGGTCCTACTGCACCTGCTGAAGCACCCAAGTGTCAACCAGGAGGTGAAGTTCGACGAGAGCCACCGCTTGGCCGCGCACCACTTCCTGTACCAGCGCAGCCGGCCAGTAGACTACTTCATCCTCATCCTGCAGGTGCCAGGCCGAGCCTGGGCTGGGGGCTCCCCGCGGTCCTGTCCGACAGAAAGGTGACTTGTGCTTGTTCCGCCCTCCCCGCCTCCTCCAAGGGCAGGGTTGAGGTGGAGATCGGGAAGGAGGGTCTGAAGTTCGAGAATGGGGCCTTCACCTACTATGGCGTGTCCGCCCTGACGGCACCGTCCTCAGGTAAGCCTGCCCCGCAGCACCTGCTGCCCGGTGTCCCCCAGCACGTCCCCATCCTCCTCTCAGCGCCAGGCCAGTATCCCGCTGGCCTGCCTGGTCACCAGTTTTCCCTCTCGCTAGCTGCCCAGTCTCCAGTGTCCTCGCGCCAGCCCACCTGCCATGACCTGTCAGCCGAGCCCGCAGATGGTGCGTGCTCCTCCACATACTGCCCGGACTACACCGTGAGGGCCCTCTCGGACCTGCAGCTTGTGAAGGTAACTGTCGGGCTGCCTCCTGGGTTCCGCCAGGCTATGTGGACAGAATGTAAACCCCGGGCGACGTCTTGGGTTGCAAGAGCAAGGCCTGCCCTGCTCCACCCCTCGAGATATGCCCAAGGATACGGCCCTCCCAGGGCTGGCCAGTTATCGTCCTGTCTGCTGGGTGACTCAATGCTGTCCCCCAGGTCACACGGCTGCAGTACCTCAATGCACTCCTGGCTACCCGAGCCCAGAGCCTGCCTCCATCCCCAGAGAATGCCAGCTTCCAGGTGGTTCCGGGTAGCCACACCAGGCTGCTTGGAGAGAAGACGGTTGCGGCAGCAGGTGAGCCCCGTGCTGCGGGACCCAGAGGACGGTGCGCTCAGCTCCTCCTGTCGCCTGCACACAGCATGTTGTGCCCTTGCCCTGCACCTTCCTCTCTTTTCTTCCTCTTCCGGTTCCCATCTTGCTGGTGGCACCAGTCTAAACCAGTGGCCTTTAAAGCAGAGCCTGTAAAGCCAGCATATTCTCTAAGTGCCCTAGAGTGGGTTGGCTTCATTAGACAGCAGATGGTGAGGGATTCAGACTCTGCCCTGGCCACGGATCATTAGGGTTTGGTACCTAGAGAAAAGAAGGTTTGGGTCACCCGTGGGTCTCGCTCAGAAGCAGGCCTGTCCTGTTGAAGGCTCCCATGTCAGGAGGACAGCTTTCCCCAGTGGGCTGGGGAGCATGCTGCAGTGTGACAATGGGGTCCTGGGGTCAGAGCTGTCTGCTGTGGTTTTCAGCTGGTGAGTCCTGGGGTGGGGCCAGTGATACCAGGGCCCCAAGAGAGGCTACGGGGCCTGCCCCACCTGCCCTGAGGGAGGCAAGCTCTTCCTGGCACTTCCTCTGTGGGTGCCATGTCCAGAGCCTTCCCTGTTTGGTTTTCCCAATTGTCCAGAGGGCCCAGTGTGATTGCTTTCCTGGGCACTGGCTCTGGTGCTTAGCCCAGGCGTGAAAGTACAGACAGGTCCTTTCTGAATTGTAAGGTGCCATGCATGTGCTCAGCAACAGGGCAGCCCCTCCAGCCACCAGCTTTGGGAGGTACAGAGGAGATGGCAAATGTGGCCAGGGTAACTGCTGTCTCAGCGCAGGGTGGGGTGGGGATGCCCCCTTTCGAAAGGAACACGTGCTCCCGGATACAGGGACACCTCTTACAGTTGTGAAAGCCATTTGCCCCCGGGGTGTTACTGTATGGAGCATCCATGTAGGAGTTCACACCACCCCACGGGACCTGGGCCTCACAGGCCAAGGTCTAGTGGAAGGTGAGCCATTCGAGTCAGTGGTCCCGGGTCCTGGTCCTGAGCTGCACTGCAGGGCTTCGAGACAATGCTGAGACGGTGCCCAGCAGGTGCCTGTGGCGGAGTCACACTCCCACCCCTCCAGGTTTCTTACATCCTCTCAGCTTCAACCTCCCACTGGCCAAAAAGAGTCATTTCCCGCAGAGCCTGGGGTATTTCCTCTTGTCCTCTGTTGACCGCTGCTCTGCTGACATAGTGTTGGCAGCTCTACCAGGAGCCCTGACAGTCGCCCTGGAGAGGAGGTCTGTAGCCATCCCTCTTTGCCTGACCTATCTGGTATCTGCCTGTGTCTGTCCCTGACACCCTGACAGCTCACTGTCACCACACACACAGTGACCCAGTCACTAGGTCTCTAGCAGAGAAGGGCTTCAGTGAAGGAGTGGAAATTTTCAGCTGCTTGCAGCAGGAGTAGGAAACTGAGGTGCAAGGGCCAACGCTCGCCAGCCACCTGCACCTGTGAATAAGCTTTCATTTGCGCCTGGACTGCTTTGCGGGTAGCTCTGAAGGACAGTGGAATAGCAGCTGTGACAGCGTCCAGTGACCTGCAGACCCTAAAACATCGGATCCCTGGCCTCTCTGCAAGCTCTGAACCAGTCTTCTGGGTTACACAGTGGCAAGGCTGTTGCCCAGGAGACAGTCCCTGGTCCCGGGACGTTGTCCTTTGTGACTTCCCTCCACTGCATGGCACTGCCTGCCCTCTGTGGTGCCACCCAACAGCTCCTCGTCTTCTCTCTCTCCCTCTCCTTCTCTCTCTCTCTCTCTCTCTCTCTCTCTCTCTCTCTCTCTCTCTCTCTGCTCTCTTCAGCCTTCCCCGTAGACCTTTCCCTCTTTGGCACATTTGGAAACTGCAGTTGATAATTGACTGTGGACTGGTGCGCATTTTTTGTTTTAAGAAAACACCAAGGTAAATATCTCCCTCTCTTGCTGTCTTTGCTTGTTTCCTCGCTGGCTGCCATGGGGCCCTGAAGAGCCGGCTGGGGGAGGAGGGGTGTTTCTCTGGGGGTGGGGAAACAGGTGCCAGCGCCCAGCTTTCTGGTGGGCAGGAGGGGTTGGGGGCACCTGCTCAGCCTCGGAGCAGCATGGGATGGATGATTGTCCAGGGCAGGTTCCCCTCACCCAGGGCCCCCTGGGGTACCGTCTTTCTTGCGGGGGCGTCCGTGCTCAGAGTGGCTTCCTCTTGTGAGGGTGACTCAGGCTGACCGTGTTTCTAACCCGTCCCTCTGGCTCTGCTTGGACGTCTGCCTCTGCATCCCGGGGCGGGCTGCCTTGTCTGCCATCCTGATCTGCAGCTTCCACTCTGGGTTGGTGACAGCCCCTCCCACTTCCTTGGCCTGACCATTCATTGTCCTCTCCTCTCTCTGGCAGGGTCCAACCCCAGCAGGTCTGTTGTGCCGGTGGAGGACAGCCCCGGGCGGAAGCCAGGGCTTTAACTGCTTGTCAGGCTCCCAGAACAGACAAGGGCATGGAGAGCCAGAGGGAGCCGAGCAGTAGCTTTGTGCTGCCCTGGCCCCACCCCTCTAGGCCATGTTTTAGATGGCCTACGTGGACATGGGGCCTGGGCCCCCGCAGTACCAGGAGCCTATAGGAGAGGGGTCGCCTGGCCCTCCAGGCTGTTCTGGAAGGAATGACGGGAACAGCATCATCTCCAGTCCTGGGGCCCGGCCCCTGCTCCACCGCTGTGACTGCAGGGTATTTATACCTCTCCGAGCCAGGCTCCATGTGTGCGCATTGTCACTGCCTTCCACGGCCTGGACCTGTGCCGCCTCGCTCCAGTCGGCCAAGCCCTCTGCTGGCAGCACCGTTCCACCCACAGAGAGTGCCTGGGCTCCAGGCCGCAGCCTATCCAGGGTGTCCTGTCTGGGCTCCCTGCAGTGTCTGTGCCAAAGCCAGAAGCTCCATTGCCTGGCCCGGTCTCGGTCTCTGTCCACGCGCAATGCTGTCAGTATCCCTGCCGAGAGGTCTCCTGGGGAAGGCAGGATCTTCCTAGCTGTGTCTGTCAGTCTGTCCCCAAGGCAGAGTCACCTGTGGTGCCTCTCCTGCCCCCCTTCTGTGGGCCTCCGCGGAGCAGGGGCAGCTGGGCTGTGATTGGAGCATCTGCATAGCTGTCCTTTAAAAAACAAAAGCCGAGGTCTTTCTTCCCTCTCTTTCCGGTTCTGTGGCCTTCCCTGTCCTCCCCAGCTGTCATAGAGACGGGGATAGGGACGCATCTGTCTTGTCTCTCTAATTTATCTGTCTTTTCCCTCAAAGTTCAGCCGTTGGAAATCAGGCATCACAGAGACGGGAGTCACAGATTGGGGAGGGCGGGACGAGGGTTTCTGGAGCCTTGCTTGATGGATTCGGGTCCTTCCACAGGGGACCAAAGCCAAACGAATGGCAGGGCTCTTGCTCAGAAACTGTTCTCAGGAGCAGTTCCGAGAACCTGTCCCTTCATCTCTATTCGGAACAGTGGTTCTGGACCTTAGAACCGCCTGGAAAACAGACATGGGGCCACCGGAGCCACTCCTGGAACTTGGTGATTCTCGGTACTGGGGCTTCATTTTTTAAGTAGTTGTAGATTCTCAGAAGAGTTCTATACCCTTCACCCAGCTTCCCTGGGTGGTAACATTTTACATAATCTTGATACATGTATCAGAACTAAAAATGTAAGGTTCAGCAATTCTCCTAACTACACTTTATTTGGGCCTTCCCGGCTTTTCCCAGTAGGGGCCTTTTGCTTGCTGGAGCCAATCTAAAGTACCTAGTTGCACTTCAGGCTGTTTTTTCCCCTAACTCTTTAGTTCCAAGTAATGAGAGATTCATAGGAGGTCACAGAGCCGGAGGCCCTCCAGGCCCTTCAGCCAGTCTGCCTCAGTGTCACATCTTATGCAGTGGCTGTGTGGGCTGTGCTGCCCTGTGGCCGCCCCCTGCTCTGAGCCCTGCAACCACTAGTCTGTTCCTCATCTCCATTACTTTGTCATCCTGAGAAAGTAGTATATATGGAATCACAGTGTAACACTTCGAGGTCACCTTTCATTTTGTTTTCTGGGGCTCATCTGGTTGTCCAGTGTGACAGTGGCTCATCCCTTCCCGTTGCCAAACGGTTTCCCATGGAAGAGGCAGCCTCCCCCTACCCAAGGACCCTGGTGGTGGTTTCCGGGTGGGGCTGTTCCAAGTAAAGCTGCTGTGAACACCCACGCAGGCGTGTGGAAAGGGGCTTGGTTGCTGGCTCGTGTGGTTGTGACCTGTTTCCGTAAAAAAAATGCTGGACTGTGGCACGGCTGTGCCATCGTCGCCACCCTCCCCTGCACCACAGGATGATCCGGCTCCACCCACGGCCACTCGGGGTCACTGCTGTCCACTTTTACTGTGGGACAGTTTCATGGGAATCCTGCCTGTGTGTGGTGACTGCCCATGCGCTTTATCTGTTTGCTAATTATTTGACCTTCTTCCTTTTTTTTTGAGGCAGGGTCTCGGTGTATAGTCCTGGCTGACTTGAGCTCATGATCATCCCGCCTCAGCCTCCCAAGTGCTGGGGTTAAACAGCCATGCACCAACTCAGTGGGCTAGGTTTGTTTTTTTTTTTTTTTTAAACTAACTTGAGAATTCCTGCTAGATTCTAAAGTCTTGGGTTGTACTTTTGGCTTAGAGGCATTTTATCTGGTCAACAGTGTTAGGGGTTTGCATCTGAAATGCCCCTAAAGGCTCTGGTAAAGCTTGTCCCTGTCCTGTACTGTTGACAGGGGCTGACAGAGGGAGGTCAAGCCAGGGTTTGTCCTGGAGGGCACCCTGGATCTCTGCCAGGATAGTATGGCCCAGAGCAGCAGGGCTGCAGTGGACATGGATCCAAACCTGTGAAACCATGGGCCCAATAAATCTTTACTCCTGTAAGTCGCTTAGTGTGGGGACTTCATCATGGTGACATGAAGCCTCTCCGTGGGGCCTTTTTAATTTTGAGGAAGTTGCGGATTTTTCTTTTATGCATTGTGCTTTTAGCATCAAATCTAAAAAAGTCTACCTAAGTCCTAGGTTTTAGATGTTACCTACATTTTTCCTGAAGGTTACCTTTTTATATTTGGGGGATAGGATTGAACTCAGGGACTACTGAAGAGCCTTTTTTTTGTTTGCTTTTCAAGAAGGATCTGAATTTAAAAAAAAAAAAAAGATCTCAAGAAATTGCCCAAGGGACCTTTGAACTTGCGATCTTGCTTAGGCCTCCTAAGTAGCCGAGATTAAAGTCTGTAATGCTGTGGCCCAGCTAAAAGTTTCATGTTTCACATTTAAGTTTGTGCCTGGTGAGTTAATCTGGGCTGTTAACTGGAAGAATTCAGTCAGTGTGCATGTTTTGGCTCTTAAAGCCCAGCTGATCCAGCACTGTTTGTTAAAATAGCCCCCAGCAGCCAGGTGGCTTTGCACCTTTGCCCCATGTTGGGTGGCAGACACCTGCTGCTTGGGAAGCTGAGTGGGAAGGTCACAAACCCGAGGCCAGCCTGGACCACTTAAACCCCGACTAAGGATGGAAAAGGGGCTGGTCAGGTAGCTCAGCTGTACAGCCTTAGCCCGGCATGTGTGAGGCTGAAATTCAAACTCAAACGAATGAAAAAATTGGGCATTTTTGTATGGTTTTTCTGTGTGCCTCTCATGTCACATCTTTATTTACTATGGCTGTGTAGATGTCTGCAAACCAGAAGACAGATTTTCTTATCCCACTTTTCAGAATTGTTCTCCCTATAATTTTTTTTTACAAATTTTAGAATAACATCTGCATCTACTAAAAATCTTACTGAGAGCTCAGTAGTTGTGGCATCATCTCTAACTTGTCTTTCAACCCATGAACACGGTCTGTTTCAATTTATATAAATTTGGATTTCATTTTGGTTTGTAGATTTCAGCATTTTTTTTTCAGTACTGGGAATCGAACTCAGGACCTTGTGTTTGCCAGTGAGGTGCTTTGTGCCCTTGAGCTATAGCTCCAGCCCTGAGCATCTTTTAAAGATAATCTAAGCCTGAGTACTTCACTTTGCTAAAGAGGTGTGCCTGCTAGCGTGTTTTCAACTTCCGTGTTCATTGCTGGCAGGGAGAAATACATTGCATGTTGGCGTTGTGTCCTGAGATTTTGCTGGACCTTGTTGGTCTGGAGAGGTTTGGGGTGGGCTCCTTGGGATTTCCTAGTGTACACAGACGAGCATGTTGTATGCTGACCCAGTGCTGTGGACATCGGGACTTTACAAACCACCCTGGTGATTCTAATGAGTGGCTGTGCCTGTAGACAGCTGCCCTCTGAACCTGCCCATCTGTGAGCAAGGGTGCCCAGAGCCTGCACTGAGCTGGCCATGCCGCGTGGCCTTTCCGGCAGGCTGCCACTGTTAGTAGTCTTGAGCTCTGCAGCTGAGGCTGTCAGGGGCTAGTCCTGTCAGGCTGTGTCCAGTCCCAGCCCCCAAGAGATAATTAGGCTGTAATGGGTAATCAGCCAGTTTAATGAACAAAAATATACTGATCCGTATAAAAAGGTGCTTCTGTCGGTCATTTGAGTGGCCTCTATAAGTGAGAACTTATCGTCTGTCGTCTAAAGCTCCTGTCTCGCCTATGGCACCTGCATCACAGCACACACTGACACTGTCACCACAGGGCAGGAGCTGCCCGTGGACAGGCATGTGGCTCTGAGTGGGTGCCCATTGGCTTTTCCACATAGTGTAGTACCTGAGAAGGCCACCATGGTCACGCTAGGAATAGCTGCTGCTGGACAGATGCCACCTGGGTGCCATGCGTAACCCAGGACCACGTGAGGGAGGCTGGGCCTGCGTTGTGTTGCCCTCCCCCAGCTTGTGTATCTCAGGGCAGAGCTCGCTGAGGTCTACTTTCTTGCATTTGAAGAGCCAGCCTTGACGGGGTACAGATCTATACCCGGGAGGAGCAGACAGGAAGGAAGGAGCCGTTTGTGAGGGAGTGTGGAACAGGGCCCTCAGGCCAGGGCAGACAGTGTCCAAGTGTCTTTCCTGCCCTGTGGCCGGCCAGCTGGTCTCTGAGCTCCTCTATGGGAGGGAGGGAGGAAGAGAGGAAGGTGGAGCCGAGGAGCAGAGGAGGGGCAGCTGCGGGGCTCCAGCACCAGGGGGCAGCAGAAGCCTAGAGACACCAGGGTTGTGGGCCGCGGCCCCAGGAGCTGAGTGGGCCACAAGCAACCCCAGCACCTGACTCCAGCCACCAGCCAGTGACACTGTAGCAGGCCCCAGGGGGCAGCAGAGGCCCAGTGACGCAAGGGTTGCGGGCCGCCACCTCAAGAGCTGAGTGGGCCGCAAGCAACCCCCAGCACCTGGCTCGGACCCTAGGTGTAAAGCTGCCTGCCAGTGACAGTGACTGAAGCATGTTGGGCACCTTCCCCAGGCAGATGCTGGCCTTAGCTCATCAGTCCTAGGCCTCTGAGGCAACCTGGAAGTTTCTGGCATCTGTCTCATGGGCCTCAGGCCTGCTGAGGACCTTGCAGACCCCAGACCCCCATATAAGTACCTAGGACCAGTGCCACTCCAGACCCATCAGGGTTGCTGCCAGCAGGTCTGGAGGGAGACCCACCTGGGGCCACAGTGGCCACACCAGTGTTGGTACCAGCCTGGCCTGCCGCTGGCTTCTCAGGTATCTGGCACACAGCTGCTGGCCACTTCTGCATCACTGCAAGAGACCAGGCCCTCCCTTCCACAAACCAGTCTCCCATGCTGAGGCTGATGGGACGTTGAGGAGGTCTGGTTCTCTGCCCCAGCTGGCTCACTTCCGCCCCAGCCCTTCTCCTGCTCCATGTCTGGCTCTCTCTGGACCCACTTTGCCACCTGCTGCCTGTGGTCCCTGTATCAGCCCATGCCAGCCCCAGCCAAGCAGGGGTACAGTGCCTTACATAGCAGGCACCTTCCCTTCACCTGCCGGCTCTCATGGGGCTGCCTTGGGCCCAAGAGGAACAGGACTGAGGCCAGGGTCCACAGGGTGCAGTGCCACAAGCCCTGGGGGCTCTAGTGACGCCTGAGTGATCCCACGGGTCCACGTTGTCAGCATCGGGTGCGGGGGTGCCTGACATGGGCCTGCAGCGCTTCCCGGATGCCCCGCTGCCAATCGCAGGCCAGTTGCACTGGGGTCAGGGAGGCCTGGAACAAGGAGGCCAGGTCAGTCCTCTTGGGTGCCACAGAGCCTGCATCACCCCAGGCCTCGCCAGCCATACATACCACATTCTGCACGCCCAGCTTGGCGCCATATAGCAGTAGCAGCTTCATGGCTCTATAGTGGCCATGGCGTACAGCTTCGTGGAGAGCTGTGTCCCCTTCCTGTGGAGAAGTGAGGTCACTTCCTGTCCGCACAATGGGCCTTGGGCAGGAGGCTCAGGCAGCCCCCAGAGACCCAGTACCCACCTTGTCCTGTGCGTCGATGCAGGCGCCACACTCCACGAGGTGCTCCAGGCAGTCAGAGTGGCCCATGCGCACTGCCACGTGGAGGGGGGTGCTCCAGATCTAGGAGGACATGGGGTCAGGATGGGGTCTGGGCTGGCAACTGACCCTCCTGCCTGATGGTCACCTACATGAGTGGCTGTTCCCTTACCTTGTCCCGGGCGTTGACCTGGGCTCCCTGGTTGAGCAGCTGCTTGAGAATGTCCAGGTGGCCTCCCCGGCAAGCCCAGAACAGGGGGGTCCTGTCCAGCTGCAACACAAGGATTGGAACTCTCAGCATGCGGATGGATGCTGTATAGGGCGTGGCTGGGCATGACCTGGGTGCTCACCAGGTCACGTGCATCCACCGCGGCTCCAGCTGCCAGCAGCTTGCTCACCAGCTGGCCGTGACCCTTCAGGCAGGCCCAGTGCAAGGCCGTGCGGTGCAGCTGAGCCAGATGGAGAGAGGTCAGGCGGAGGGAGTGCAGTCACCGTCCCTGCCCACAGCAGGGCCCTGAATGGCACCCATCCCATCACCAGGCCAGGGGCTCCCCTCTTGGCCCATGTCACCCCACCACATCTGTGCCCACAAAAGCTTGCTACATCCCGGGCCAAGCCTAGGATGCACAAAGTAGTATGCATGTCACCTGGCCATTCTACCTTGTCATGGGCACTGGAGTCCCCTCCGTCTGCCAGGTACTTGTCCACCAGGGACTCCTGGTTCTCAGCCGCTGCCTTGAGGAATGTGTCCAGGTCCACAGGTCCCAGCTGGGCCTGGGGCTGTGGCTGGGTGAACGGAAGGACAAGACCGTGTAGCATCCCAGGCTGTCAGGTGCCCATGATAACAGCATCCCCAGCCCAGCCCAGGGATGCCAGGCAGGGACAGGAGCAGCACATGGTGGGCCCAGGCAGATGTCGTTCTGATGTCCAGTCTTTCTCCAGGACACTCAATAGGCAGTGTGTGTGTGCAGATTTGTTCACATGCTAAAGTCCTTCCCCTGCTCCTTGGGAGATGACCTTATTTGGAAAGTTGGTCCTTGCAGTTGGAATTGGTTGAGGTGACACTGGAGTGGGGTGGGCCCCTTTCCAATATGACAGTGCCAAAGGGAACTCTACACCTAGAGGACCCATGTCTTCATAAGAGATAGGGTGGGGGCATCCACACTTGTCCCCTCAGTCTCCTCTGGGTAAAGGGACCAGCCTACCGCTGCCTGGCTCTGCAGCCCCGAGAGCCGTGAGACAGCTTGGGCCTTGGCCCAGGCTGTCCCAGCAGACATCGAGGGGCCCTGTGTGCTGGTCATGCAGTGGGGCTCCTGTGTTGCCTCTTCCCTGAGCTCCCAGGGACAGCAGACTGCCCCTGCAGCGGAGCCCTGGGCGTCCCCACACCCTTGATGTCTCACCTCAGCCTCGGGCTCGGGTTCCCTGTGGGGGGGTCTGCGTCTTAGTCGCTTTTCTCTTCGTCTTTGAACCAAGTTTTCTAAGTCTTCCACTTTCTCCAGATTTATTCTGGAGCTGTTGAATTTTTCCAGCTAGGGCAGAAAGTGGGCCTCAGCCTCAGGGCAGGGGGTCCCAGTGACAGGCCCTCGGCCAGTCTGATCCTGGCCTGCACCGGGGGACACCTGGGCTCAGGAGACCCAAGGGGACCCGCTGCCCAACACTGCCAGTGTCACTCACTCTCTTCATCCTCTCTTCTTCCTGTTTCAGCTTCTCCCGGGCCACGGCCTCGAGGGGGCCCAGCCTCCAGTCACGAGGCTGACCCCTGGGATTTCGAGCTGCGTGTCCAAACCCCAACACTTTCCCTTCATCTCTCTCTTCACTCACCTGTGGGGCAGGATGTGGACATGGAATGAGGAAAAATGGAGGAACCCTTAGGAAACAGTCTCGAGGCTGAGGCAGGAGGATTGCAAGTTCAAGCCAGCCTGGGCAATTTAGCAAGATTCTGTCTTAAAATTAAAAAGGCTGGGATGTAGCTTAATGCTCCCTGGGTTCAGTCCCCTGTGCTAAATGAGAGAGTCAAATAGGGTCCTGATGGCTGCTGGGAGCTGACCCAGATCACAAAGGGTCCCCAGCTCCATCGAGCGCCCGATACCTGTGCTCGTCCTCACCCACTCTGGCAATGACCAAGGCCCAGCGCCCAGAATGACCAATGGCCACCACCCACTTGTCAGCAGGATCCCAGGGCTGAGGCCAGGTGATCTCAGCTATTTATACTGCTGGGCCTGTGCCTGGGAGCCTGGGGGCAGATGACACCTCAGCCTTGGGCTGCTTCCCTGAATTCCTGACAGATCACGCCACACTGCCACCTGACTCCAAGCTCAGGACAGAGGAGTTGCCTGTGGGGACAATTCTGGGTCCCAGGGTCCCTCTCTTGTGTTTCCGCATCTGTGAAATGAGTTTATGCTAGCACTTTCCAAGCCACTGTGAAGACTACAGGAGCTCTCGACACTTGTACAATCAACAGCCTGTCCTCCAGCTACCCACGCAGGTGCTGGGAAGATGCATTTGGAGGAAGACAAGGATTGGAATCATGGGGTCAAACCACAATGAAGGGACTGAATTCCCTCTAACGCAGCAGCCCCTCGACACTCCGCTTTTGGAATCTGCCTCCTGTCAGGGCTGCAGCAAATTGGAGTCACTGCTGGACCCCACATGTTCAGCCTTATGTCCCGCAGACCCCCGAGCATCACAGCCATTGCTGTTTATCACTGCCCAGGGTGACCAAGGGCACCCTTCCTCTGGCCACCAAAGCAGCCAGACCCTTTGGATGCCTCCACCGAGGTCATGGTGCCGGATACAGAGCTGCCCTGCCATACCACGGCTTCAGAAGCAGTGCCCACCCGTGTCCTCTCAGTCCAGGACGAAGCAGGACGTGCCTGTGCTGTGGCATGGCCCAGCTGCGTGTGCCCCCCACCCCCACTACAAGCTGTCCAATGCTGCTCCCCAAACCCAAGGAGCCCTGAGTCAGGTTGCACTCTGCCACTTCCCATTCGAACCTCTTGTGCTCCCCACCCCTTGCCACCTCTCCAGCCCCAGCTTCAGGCCACCACCAGCCCAGAACCCGTCCTCACCAACTGCCGGATACTAATGAAGTCCATAGTCCCCCCTGCTCTCCCCGCCTCCGTGAGAGGAGCCGACCGAAGGCCCTTTTATAGGGAGGCCAATTCCTGGGGGAGGTGGGAAGGGCTGGCTCCTGCCAAGGCCGGATGGCTCCGGGGACCTGTCACACCAACCAAAATACCCAGCCAGGAATGTGGCCTGCTGAGGGCAGGGAGTGAGCCACTTGGAGCTGAGCCTGTGGCTGCCCTGCCTGCCACCCCCACCCACTGTGGGCCCCTAGAGCTGCCCTGTGGGGGTACTTCCTGCTCTCCTGGGCTCAGAGCCCTGGAGGGGTCCAGCCCCCGCCTCCACAGTGCAGGCCTGGCTGCCTGTACCACCGAGAAGACCCCGCTCAGTTTCTAGAGGACAAGGACACCGAGCCAGAATCCCCAGAGGACCTCAGAAGGGACACGAGAAGAGGCTGACCTATGACCTCAGCTGGTACCCACATCCCACTATCCCCTGTGCCACAGCCACTGCCCACACTGCCCACACTCAGGAGCTGGGCCTGGCTGCTCCCAGGCCTGCAGGCTCTGTAGATGCTGTCTATGTCCCGTGCCTACGGGGGTCCCAGGCACACAGCGTGCCTTTCACAGGCAGGGACTGAGCTGCAAGAGGTCCTGCTAGGGAACAGCCACGAGCTGGGCGTGGTGGTACACGCCTGTAACCCCAGCACATAGAGGCTGAGGCAGGAGGATCAATTTAGGTTTGAGACCAGCCTGGGCTACATAGTGAGTTTAAGGCCAGCCTGAACTATGCAGTGAGACCTTGTCTCAAAAATAAACAGCAAAACAACCCCAGTGACCCTGTAAGGCAATCTGTCTTCGGCCATGTAATCGAATTCCCTCATTCTCCTTCAGAGGCCGCACACGCCCTTCAGCCAGCAGAGCCTGGAACCCAGCTTTACTTGGAAGAAAATTAGCCAGGGCCAGGGCGGCCAGGCAGAGACATCCAAGAGCACGGGGCCCAGGCTGTCTCCCTTAGTATTGGCCTTCCCCGTGGCACCCTCGCCCGGTCCCCAGAGCCACCCTGCAGTGACCACTTCCGCCCTCGAGACGAGGACCTGGGCACAGAGGCTGAAGCACCCTGTTCCTCCGCCCCATCCTCCGCTCCTCCATTGTCTGCTTTCACAGTTCCATGTTCAACCCCAATGTTCATCGCTGCGCGTAGAATGGATCAGGAGAGGAGATAACTTTATTCTCCCTGCGTGGGCAGAGGTTGCCGTGGGAATAACCTAGAATGTGATTGTCTGTCCCTGCCTCAAAGCTGCCAGCCCTGCCTGGCCACCACCAGGCTGGAAGTGGCTCTGGGTATCCTGGGTGTGCTGTCCACCCTGAGTGGATGCTGAACGGGTGGGGCAGCCGGTGGCCCGGTGTCTGTGCTCCCTGTGTGGCACTGTCCCCTCAGCTGGCCAGCAGGTCCCGCAGGGCACTGTTGCCCGGCAGCAGGTCGCAGGCGAGCCGTGCCTTTCGGTCCCGGACGGTCTTCAGGGCCGGGCTGTGCTGCAGCAGCAGAGAGCAGATGTCCCCGTGTCCCCTCTCAGCAGCCTGTGTAGAGAGAGAAAGAGAAAGAAGCTCTGTTAGCAGGGGGTCCGGGATCCCGGCCGGTCCCGGTCCCCGCTCTGTGGCCGTAGCTTCCTCTCCTAAGCAGGACAGGGCTACAGGGACAGGCAACTGATCCCACTGAATCCTGGACCATGACGCACAGCCGACAGTGAGCCGACCTCTCCTCCTTGTGGCCTCTGCCCTGCGGCCCTGCCTGTCTCCAGCCAGCTCACAGGGGCCTCCAGGAACACGGCAGTGCGGGGCACAGCTGGGCATCTCTGGCCCCAGCTCGCTTTTCCCCTCTATGACAATCCTTCCCAAACACCGATTTCCAGCCTCCCTCTGCCAAAACAGAACTTCAGTGTGTTCTGCTGAGAATCAAATTTCACAGTCCCCCTGTGCTGACACTGGGGAGACCTGGACTGCACCAAGGAAACTGCACAGGTTCCAGGGCAGCCCAAGCACCTACGCCAGATCTGTGCACTTGGGATAACTCTGTGCCCCATGCCGCCTCCTCCTCCTCCTGCCTGCAACAGACGATGGACACTGGGACATCTGAGAGGTGACAGCCACTACGCCCCAGGCCTGAACCCCAATCTTTTTGTGCAGAGCTTAAAGAGCTGGGACTCAAGACCTGGCCTTGCAGCCTTCTTCAGGCAGGGGTTCTGTGGTCAGCTGGGAGACAAATTCATCTTGAGTTATGTTTCTACAAAAAGTGAAGCACCAGTGGGGCATGCATATAACCTTAGCACTCAGGAGGCTGAGGCAGGAGGGTCACCGAGAGTGTGCCCAGCCTGAACTACAGAGCGAGACCCTGTCTCAATCCTCTCAAAATACAGTAATTAAGCCACCAATGCTTACAAACATTCTATTTTTAAAAAAGGGACAATTGCAACCCTGCCTTGCATATCTGCATTGTCTGAGCAGGAGAAAGGGGTGCACGTATCTGCAGTGCCACCAGCAGTGTCCTCCCACAAATGCTCGTCCGGCCAACTATGGCAGCAAAAACTCAGAGCAACAGCTGTCAGGACCACAAATACTCAGGCTGTCTGCCTCCCCAACAGCCAAGGCTGTGACAAAACCCGACATCCAGCCAGATGTGGTAATCCCAGCACTCAGGAGGCTGAGGCAGGAGAATCACTGTAACACTGACGCCAGCTGAACTACATGGTGAGAGCTGGTTCCAACAAAACAAAAACAAGAAAATGAAAAGATGGGGATACAGGGCACAAGGGCAGGGCTGGAGAGGTGGGTGGGAGGTGGCCCCAGGTCCTGCAGATGGCTATGGGCCTGAGGGAGGATGGGTCGACTCTTTTAAAACCACTACTCTGAAGGAAAATCAAAGTGGGAGAGAGACAGAGAGATGTATTTGCACACACATGTGAGTATGAACCACTGCCCAGCCTGGCACACCTGTGATCCCAGTCTCTGGGAGGCTGAGGCAGAAGGATCCCAAGGTTTAGTCCAGCTTGGACAACTTAGTGAGACCTGTCTCAAAAATAAAAAGGGACAAGGGCTGGGGATGTAGGTCAGTGTAAAGGCCCTGGGTCCCATCCCCAAGCCACACACACACACACACACACACACACACAAACTGAAGGCGGGCTATGCTGAGTGCGGGTGTCTCTCACAGCGGGTTCTGAAGGATCGGGTGGCCCTGGCTCTGGCAGGGAGGAGGGCGCAGCTTTGAGAAGTAGTTACATGCACAGTCCCTCAGGAAGAGAGCTGAGGACGCTGCGCGTTCTCCCTGGTGCACACGGGGACCAGGCTGGAAGGCCACACGCTCATCCCCACGTGGCACAGGGGAGCAGCCATCTTCATTTTTCCCTGCACCTTTCTGATTCCCCGTGTTCTCTACAATGAAGCTGTTATAACTCTTCTTGTTTGATGAGACAGGGGCTTCTTATGTAGTTCAGGCTGGTCTTGAACTCACTATGTAGTCAGGTAGCTGTTGAATGTACAAGGATCCTCCTGTCTCAGCCTCCAGCCTGGCACTGTATGTTTGTTTGCTTGTTTTAGTTTTTTGAGTCAGGGTCTCTCCTATAGTCCAGGCTGCCTCAGCCTCTCAAGCCAGGATTACAGGTGTGTACCCTCCCAAGCCCCAGCATGTTATAATTTGCAACAAGAAAGTTTTGGGGCTGGGTGTGGTGGCATCTGAGGGAGGAGGATCGCTATGAGTTTGAGGCCAGCCTGGGCTACAGAGAGACCCTGTCTCAAAACACCAGAACAGAATAGAAGATTTCGACAGGGGAGAGGGACCGACCTTGTGCAGACTGGTCATGCCATCATCGTCCACCAGCCGGGGGTCCGAGCCGTGTGAGAGCAGCAGCCGTGCAATCTCCGTGTGGCCGCAGTAGCTGGCACGGTGCAGGGCTGTGGCGCCCCCTCGGGTCCGGGCGTCACACTGGGCCCCGCTCTCCAGCAGAAACTGGCACACTGCGTAGTGCCCATTGCGGCTGGCATAGTGCTGCAGGGAGCAGATAGCCCGGTCAGGCGGCACAGCCTGGGCCCACGGCAAGGGCATCGGGGAACCTGCTGAGCCGACAGCTCCCTGCTGAGCCCAGCCTCCCAGGCTATAAGCAGGAAGCTCGGCCGCAGTGCGAAGCCCCGCAGGTGCAGGTGCTGCTGGCTTCATAGAAAGGGGAGCTTGTTGGAAGAAAGGGAAGGCAGGTCACAGGTGCGGGGCTGCCCTCCAGCAGCACGGGGAATAAGTGACAGTTACGCATGGGACACAGACTCCACGGTGTCCACGCAGTGAGGGGGGAGCAGAGTGAGAGGACAGCCTTCGGGATACAGCACTCTGGCTACAGGAGAAACAGCCCGGCACCGTGGGCAAGAGAACCCAACAGAGCACTCTGCGCAGCGGTATGGATGGCCAACCAGCACATAAAAAGGAATCACTGCATTAGCCACTAAGAAGAGGCAAATCAAAGCAACACTGATGCTGAGGCGGGAGGACTGCTGTGAATCTGAGGTCAGTATGAGCTACACAGCAAGAGCCTGTCTCAAAATAAATAAAGAACTAGGCTGAGATTCCACCTCCCCCAACTCAGAATGGCTATCATCAAGAAGCCAGAGGGGCTGGGGATTTAGCTCAGCGGCATAAGCGCCTGCCTTGCAAGCAGGCATTCCGGAGTTCGATCCCTGGTACCGATAAAAAAGCCAAAAAAAAAAAAAGCCAGAAAACAGGGCCAGGGATGTGGCTCAGTGGTACAGGGCCCGAGTGGCAAGCTCATGGTCCTGAGCTCAATTCCCCGGACCACACATGCAAAAGAATCCTAAAAACAATAACGCTGGCACAGATGTGGAATATAAAATAACTGCCATGGATATCAGCGTTGAGGGTCTGTGAAACCTACAAATAGAGCTATCATTGCCTATGCACCTCCTTTGCAGATCCCTGAGCAGTTCAAGTCAGAACACTACAGGGACACCTGCAGACCCACGATTATCTCAAGCACAATTCATAGCAGCTAAGGTGTGCTGCCCACCTATGGATAAAGGACACACACAACACACACACACACACACACACACACACACACACACACACGTACGTGTGCGCACAGTGGAGTATCATACAGCCATAAAAAAGAAAATTCATTTGCAGGAAACTGCATGGGTCTAGAGGTCGCCGCACCAAGTAGAACAAGCCACACCCAGACAGTGTCACAGGTTTCCCTTAATATGTGGAAATTTAACAAGAAACCAGAGGATGAGGCAGGAAGACTATGAGTTTGATGCCAGCCTGGGCTACTGAGCAGGTTCAAGGCCAGCCTAGATCACGTGACAACTCTCTTTTAGGGGAAAATAACAGGCATGGTGGTACACACTTGTAATCCTAGCAGTCTGGAAGGCTGAGGGAGGGCTGCAAATTGAAACCCAGCCTGGGCACCTTGGCAAGGTCCTGTGTCAAAGTACAACACAGATATTGGGCTGGGAGATGTAGCTCATGAAAAACTCCTAGGTTCAGTCCCTGATACTGCCAAGACAGAAAGAAAAGAAAAGAAAAAGAAGAGAAAGTACACTGTTGGGCTGGGGGCGTAGCTCTTGGTAGAATGCCAGGCCCGGAGTTTGTAACCCAAAGCCGAAAATAAAGGGAGGTCCCCCTGGGCTGTGGCCTTACACTGCTGGTTTCCCTGGTGCTTCTGGGCCTGTGGTCTGTCTACACGTCACTCACTTCATGGAAGCTAAGGACCAGAGTGCCAGGGTCACCTCCTGGGCACATGCCTACCGCCCTAACTTTCTCCATCAGCCCCTCCTGAAGTTCCACCGTCCCCGACAGCTCTGGGACAGGATCTGGACTCTTGGGCTACTAAGGAACCCTAAGCCAGCCATGCCACAGAAGACACAAGTGTGCACGGCCCACCCCACCAGAGCTGCTAGCATGGGTTAGAGCGACCCTTGCCCACCCTTACCAGGGCTGTGTAGCCGGCAGAGTCGGGCTGGCTGGGGTCCGTGGGCTTCTGGATGAGAGACTTCACGCGGCCCAGGTCTCCGTCCAGGGCTGCTGACCAGATGCCTGCAGAGAGCCAAGCAAAGACTGAGTGGTGCCACGTGGCCAGGGCCATTCAGCGCCTCCACACCCACGTTTCTGAGTCTATAAATGGGAGGAGATTTGGTCACTCAACAACTACTGACAGAGCCAAGCCTGGTGCTTATAATCCCAGCTCTCTGAGGCTGAGGCAGGAAGGGTGCGGTAAGTTCAAGGGGACCCTGGGGTATACAGGAGACACTGTCTCCAAAAATTAACCAAATAAATACATGAAAGTCACAGCCACAGTGGGAAGGGCACTGAAGCCACACAGCCCAGAGGTACCCAGCACTGCTCACAACACCTTGGGGGCTTCGGTGCCAGCGAAGAGCCGGGTCAGGAGGGACAGCTGTTGGCCCCTCGGGTAGTAGGGAGTCAGAGGAAGGAAGCTGGGAGGCTGGGGGAAGAGCCATCACAGTGACACAGTGACGGGGTTGGGCACAGCCCTGAACCCGAGATCTGAACACTCTGACAGGGTACAGGGGAAAAGCTGCACCTCGCCTCATGTGGTGAGGACATAGGTGCCCGAACACCTTCAGTCTATGTACACATAAACAGCGCAGACAAGACAGGAACTGGGTCCAGAATTGGGCCCCATTCCCAAGAGATCCTGGTACATGTAAATACCTCCAAAATGTGAAAAAAAGTCCCAAATCCAAAATATTTCTGTCCCCAAGCATTTGAGCTAAGGAATAGTTAACCTGTACTTCCTATGTACCTGGCAGTGTTGTAGGCATTCGAGATCAGTCAAGAACAAAATGAAACCCACAATTTGGCTTAATAGAGCCTACATTTCATTTAAAGAAGAAAAACAGCCAGATGTGCTGACATAGGCCTGTCATCCTAGTGCTCAGGAAGCTGAGGCAGGATTGTTGCAGGTTTGAGGCCTGCCTGGGCTATAAAGTGAGTCAAGTTCAGCCTGAACTGCATAGTGAGACCCTGTCTCAAAAAGACTAAATAAATAAATAAAATAAGAAAAACAAGAAACGTGTATATGTTTACATATAACTTGCCTATGTATATGAACTACTTTATATGTAATTATATATACGCACATATTACATTTTTCTACATGTATATTCAACGTATTTATAAGGTAAGTGAGGTGCTACAAATTTCTCTGAAAAATAAGCAGAGGAGAAACAGAAACAGGGGCCCATGCCTGTAATCCCAGCCACTCAGGGAGCCAAAGCACAAATTCAAGGTCAGCCTGGGGAACTTTGTCACACCCTGTCTAAAAATTAAAGCCTGGGATGTAGCTCAGCAGTAGAGTTCTTGGCTCACATGTGTGAGGTCCCAGGTTCAATACCCAGCAAGCTCTGCTCCCTCCAAAATGCATCCCAAAATGACAGCAGTGTGGCTGATGTGTAGTGGTGACCACCAGCAATCAAGGAAAAGAACCGAAATGAAAGTAGAGAAACTGAGCAGGCATAAGACCCCAGGAGCCTTGAAGGCCATGGGATGGAGTTTGGATTTTTTCTAAAATCCACAACAGGCGTGGAGACTACACCTGTAATCTCAGCATTCTGGGACTTTCTGAGCCCAACCTGGGAGATTTAGTGACCAGTTAGATCTCATCTCAAAATAAAAAAACGGAAAGAGGGCTGAGGACGTGGCTCAGTGTGAAGGCCCTGGGTTCAATCCCAGTACCACAAAAACAAACAAAATAGCAGTGGAAAGTCTGGTGAGCCAGCATGCTCAGGAGGCCGCGGTGAAGGATCATGACTTTGAGGCCAGATTACTCAGTGAGACATTGCCTCAAACAAATAAAGTAAAAGTCACAGGAATTGCAATGATCAGATTTAGTTTCTTCCAAAGGCTCCTCTGGCTGCTGGATGGGAGGGCAAGCCCAAAAGCAAGAGTCCTACTTCCTTAGCCGGGAGGGTGGCACAGCAGAGGTGGTGAAAGTGGGCAGGTGCTCTGCTGTAATGGTGAAGTGTGTATGCACTGGCGGCGGCAGCATGCACCGGAGAACGACAATTTTGTCAGTATGATCGCACAGCTGCCTCTGCGGGGCTAGTGACAGCTAGGTAGCAGAGATGCTGACAGAGACCAGACACACTGGGCCAGGTAGTCAGCAGGATCGGGCTCTGTATAAGCCCGGAAGAAAGGGATACCTCTGAGCTCTGTAGTTAAGACACCCTGTCACGGGTCAGCTGCCCAGTTTGTGGCCACTTCTCAGGCGGATACATTGCCCAGCAGCAGACCCGAGCCTGGTGCCCCTTCCTCCGGGGCCACCGGCTGCAGAGCCAACTCCCGGCCCCACACCCACCCGAGCAGACTTGGGTCTCCCAGGTGCGGTCGTCACTAGGTGAGGATTTGGACCCAGCCTCATCACTTGGACGGCTTACGGAAACAACTCGGTGTCCTTGCCCGCACACTGTGCAGTCTCACCCCTCTCGAAGTCCATCTCTTCTAGCGTCTGCTGCACGCCGGGCACCGCACTCGGGCAAGAACAGCAAGGCCCGTCCCCGCAAGAGTGCGGCGCCGCCATCCTGCCCTAGGCCACTGGGAGGGAGATGGTAGTGCCCGCCCCGCCGTCGCAATCCGACCACTCGGCGTGCGCAGCTGGCCTTCAGTCCCGCCCCTCGCCCGAGTTAACGAATCCAGCGTCTAGACCTTACCTGGAGAGCCAATCGCGCGACGGGGCGGGGCTTTGTCACCGGATCACGTTTCAACGCCGCCACACGAGGGCGCGATAGGCTAAGTGAGGACCGAGAAATTAGCGGGGCTGGGACCAAGATACCGCGAGGGCGGGGCACTGCGTTTAGCAGTTTAGGGGGGCCCGGGCTGCTGGGTGCGGTCTGCCTGTCCTTCTGGCCAGAAACCAGCCCTTAGAGCTCTTCCAGTTACCACGCCCGGTCCGACCCCACCCCACTGCACCCCACCCCTGCAGTACCCCTGGTCTGGCTGACCATGGGCAGCCTTGTCCGCTCTCCTCATTCCTTCGGAATCCAATCAGGAAGCGGGCCTGGTGGCGCCCGCTGGTAATCCCAGCGTTCTGGGAGGTTGAGGCAAGAGGATGGTAAGCTCCAGCACTGACTGGGCAACTTAGACCAGCTCAAAAAAGGGCTGTGGATGTAGCTCTGTGCAAAAGGGCCTAGTTCAATCCCTAGGACCACAGTGAAGAAATACAATAAAATCAGTAAATAGCAGGTGGCCAACCACGGTCCCCAGGAACACCCCAAGGGCAGAACCAGAGCCTCCCATCCTCACCAAACCCCCCATCTGCTTTACCGAATAGCTGATGACTGTGGACAGCTGATGGCTGTGGACGGTTGCCAAGGACAGCCAGGCAAGTCTCAGAGACAGCCTGCCCCACTGCTCACGGGAGCTGGACCTGGGTGCCTAGGTGGGGGTTTGCCACCGTCCTTGGCACTCAAGCGAGGCTTCCCGGCTGGGGCCTGTTGTTGTCTCGAGAACATCTGGGTACAACACATCTCTCTGGCCAGCGGGGCTGGGAAACTCTGGGTGGCTCCTTCCCTACATGGTCAGGATGTCAAGGCTCCACCACTCTCCAGCCAAGCAGGCTGAACCTTTTTCCTTGGTGAGCTGACAAGGGGTCCACAGTCCATGCAGTGCCAGCTCCAGTCTCTGGGGCTTCCATGGCTTCTAGGAAATCCCTTCACCCCCATTTGCCCTACCCAAAGCTCTGGGGGAACAACCCATCCTCCCCCTGCGTTCCCCTCTGGCCCAGAGCCAGGCTGGGTCCCAGGGGCTGTGGCCCTGGTCTGGTTGGTTCCCAGCCCTAGAGGCACGACTGTGGGAAAACACTGGAGTCTGGGCCGTGCCCCGCGCCCCGGGGGCACCAGCAGACGAGGAGAGGCTGCCCTGGGACCATGGCCAGGAATATGGTGGGGGAGACCAGCCTCCCTCCCTCACAACCCAAGGGACCTACCCTCTCCATAGCCTGAGAGATAAGGTTTAGCCCAGAATGTCTTGTTCTCATCCCAGTAAGTTTCATTTTGTTTTATTTGTCAATATAAAAATACTCAAACATTTACAACAAATAAATACGCGGGGACACAATAAGTTACACTGTTAGGAGCCCTCTTCCAGGGTTGGGAGAGGGGATGCCACCCACAGCATGCCCTCCCTGCTCCCCCACACCACCTTTCCCGGCCCTGTCCAGGAAGAGGACCAATATAAAATACCACTGACTAGGGCCCAGAGGGAGGCCCCGCCCACCCTTCCCCTAAACAACACAGGAGGCGCCACCTCCCTCCCCCCACCCTGAAAACATTCACAGCCCTAGAACAGGGCTAGGCCCACCCCCAGGGCCCTGAGCTTCTCCCCACCCCCCCAGAAGGGTACAGCACCCTGCCCACCCCACCCCCATATGTACACAGGTGCCCCGAATTTGGGACAGATGGGGGTAAGAGAGACAAAGTGATCCGACCCCTTCCCCTTCATAGCTCCAAAGACTCCCCAGGAGGACCATAGGCCAAGGGAAGACCACAGAAACAGGAAAGCTGTGTCACACACTCCTGTTTGCATACACATACACACACACACACACACACACACACACACACACACACACACACACGTACACGGACACACCCACATTTCGAACTTCTGCCTTGCAAAGTTTTGGCTGCTGGGGTCCCACATGTCCAAGATTCACAGAGGAGGAAGGTTGGTGCCCTGGTGAGCCACTCCAAGTGGCAGTGCCCATGCTGAGCAGGTCTTCATGGCTAGGCGGATGCTGGGCAGTGCCAGTCCCAGGCAGAGCAGGTGCCTGAGCCATGTCCCTGAGGTAGCTGGTGCCTGTGCAAAAAGTAGGAGCCGCACCTCCCGCACGCCCCGCCGGTGCGGTGGGTCCCCTCATACCGAGGACTCCTCTGGGTTGGAGTCGGGCAGCGGCTGGCGCTGCTGCAGCTTGCGTCTCAGTTCATCGGCGAGCTCGGGCAGGGGGTGCCCGCCCCGGTCTTCTCCTCCTAACTGTAAGCGCACATAACCGTTGGCATTCGAGTTCCGCCCACCCCCCAGGTGGAGCCGAGTTGGAGAAGGCAAGGGCTGGCCCGGGATGCCAGGAGGTGGGGAGGGGGGCCCGCCCCCAGGCTGGCACCTTGCGTGTCCAGGCACAATCTTGAGTGAGCCATCTGAGTAGTAGTAGCCAACAGGATCCCAAAGTTTCTCATCTGTTTCTGGGCCAGGCCGGAAGGGAGGACTGGTGGGTTCCTTGGGCAGCTCCAGGGGGTACACGAGGGTCCTCTCAGCTGCCTTGGCACCTTTCTCCAGCTCTTCCCGCAGCCGTCGGCGCAGGGACAGAACCAACAGCAGCAACACCAAGCACACGGCTCCCAGGGCCACCACAGCCAGCCAGACTAGCCCCAGGTTTTCCAAAGGTGCCCGGGCCTCCAAGGTCACCGATGGGCCTGCCACGACAGCCACGAGGTAGCCTTCCGCAGCCAGCCGTGCACCCTGCTCCTCCGAGAAGCAGTGGTAAGTGCCCGAGTGGCGGGGCTGGGCGGCCATCACCACCAGGGCCTGCAGCCGGGTGTCGTACAGGAAAGAGCCAGGCTGTTCGGCTGGCAGATCTCGATCCTTGAAGGTCCAGTGGGCACGGGCCAGGTTGGAGGAGAGGCGGCAGGGCAGCACCAGGTCTGTGCCCGCTACCACAGTGATGTTTTTGGGCGTGAGCCTGACTGTAGGGGTGGAGATAAGAGCAGAGATAAATAGGGGAACCCAGGGCCAGGGGACACTGGGTCTCTAGCAGTGGCCCAGGCTTATATGGGCAGGGGCACAAAAAGGACCACTCACCTTTCTTACTGCCATGCAGGTTACAGATGCTGGACGTGTCTAACATGGTCACGTGCTGGACCAGCAGGGCTCTGGAGGGGAACCGAGGATGTCAGCACCCTCCATTTGCCCTCCCATGCCCACGCCACTATACTCAGGGTTCAACTCACCCAGAGTGGCCACTGGTGGCCACGCAGCGGCTGGTGTTGACATTCCAGGCACAGTAGGGGTCCCTGGCGAGGACGCAGTCTGCACAGGAGCGGTACTTGCCACAGGCCGCCAGGGGCAGCTGGATGAGCTGAGAGCGGGAGCCAGCAAAAAGCAGCTTCTACGAAACAATCAGGGACAGCAGGGTCAGTGGTGCAAGGCACACAGCTGGGGACAGCTCGGATTCCCATAGGGAGTGCAGCCCCAAGAAGTGGCCCGGGAGAGAAGGCAGAGGTGAGGCCAAAGCCTGCCAATTCACCTAGGACTTACTACAAGCCGGCCCCATCCTAAGCACCTTATGACTATGACCTTATTAAACAGGGGCAACAGATGTGTCCCCACACCGTCACGCAAACAGCACCCCTAACAACAGCGGAGGTGTAGAGTAAGAATGGAGGCTGCCAATCTGTGTGTGTTTATTCAAGCCCACACTTTCTTTCTGCCATTATCCTCATTCTGGGAGAATAATTTGGAGTCACAATAGCTGGCAACGAAAGGCAAGCCAATCAAAGCACACCGAGTGCTGGAGATCCACCAGAAAGTTTTGCAAAGTGCCGACGCATCAGGGAAACCGTCAAGGAAGTGGAAGACTGGGCCCAGGGGGGCCCCTGGGGACTGGGAGGAACTGACATGAGGGGACACCGCAAGCGTCCTGCAGCCTGGGAGGTCCGGCCAGCAGGGGTGTGATCGGAAGAGGCTGGAGGAAGAGGCTGAGGAAGGAACACGTGAGTGGCTGCCAGGCCCCATTCTGGGAACATGGTCCCAGGGGACCTGGCTCCATATACAGGCACAGTGGATCCTGTTAGCTCAAGCTGTCACTTCCTGGAGCTCAATGGGGTGTGTTGCCCTGGCTGAGCAGGGAGGCCAGGCAAAGGGCACAGGCACTGGGGACAGCAGTGCACGGCCCAACATCCTCACCTTGCTCTCAGACAGCACCAGGCTCTCCACAGGCTCCCGGTCAAACACCTGCAGCTCCTCGATCAGGTGCACCCAGGCGCCGAGGCTCACGGCCTTGAGCAGCCAGCCGTCCCCTGGGGAGGGCAGGGCAGGGCTGAGCAACAGGGTGCAGGGCTGAGCAACAGGGTGCACGGCTCTGGGCAGCCCCAGCTGCCTGCCCTGGACACGGCCATGCCTACCTGTCCCGATGAACAGTACTGTGTAGGTAGCTCCATCAAGCCCCATGATTCGGTCGGCCACCAGGTGTGTGAAGTTGGCCGCCTTCTTTACCAGCAGGGGCCGGCCCCAGCGGGGGGCCACCTGCTCCTCCATCAGTGGGTGCTTCTTGATGAAGTTGAGGGTGTTGTCAGGCAGCTCCAGGGAGCTGCTGTAGCCATGCCGCCGGTGCCAGTTGTTGATGCACTAACACAGGGCCAGAACAGGAGGCTGTGAGCCAGGAAGGATGGGGACAGCACTAACAACAGACACACAGCACGCCCCCAGGGACTCACCGAGCCGGGCCGAGGGGTGGGCACCGGGTCCGTGTAGCGGGCCCACTTCTGGGCTTGCTCTCGGTACTCCTTGTAGGGACCTTCGAACACTCGCTGGATCTCCTCCAGCTGGTACTCACAAACTGCTGACAGGTCCACGTCACCCCTGTCACAGAAAGGGACATCAGCGGTCACACCTGAGCCCACCTTACTCCAGTTCTGGGGCAAGAGCCTGGGGCGGGACCCAGTGCAAGGTAGTCACAGGCATAAGAAGGTACTGGCGAGTCTGAGGTGCCACCTGGGCTAGGGCCCTCGGACAGACAAGATGGGGCTGGCAGCTCACATGTGCAATCCCAGCACTTGGAAGGCTGAGACAGGAGGACTGCCACAGTTTGAAGCCAGGTTGGACTATACAGTGAGTTCTTTTTTTTTTTTTTTTTTTTTTGTCTTTTTCCTTTTTATCGATACGGGGGATTGAACTCAGGACTGCCTGCTTGCAAGCCAGGCGCTTGTGCCACTGAGCTTAATCTCCAGCCCCTACACAGTGAGTTCTAGGCCAGCCTGATCTACTAATGAGCCCAATCTCAAAAGCACCAAAGTTGAACATGGCAGTAGGTATCCGATGTTCTTGATGTCCTGACACTGGCCACCTGGATGCCGCCCAAAGGCCTGTGCAGCCCCATTCACCCCCTCATACACACGCCCTTGACCTGAACACCCACTCTCCCACTGACTTCCAAGGAGGTATTCCCGGCTAACGTACCAGCGAGCTCGGAAGACCCCAAAAAAGGTGGTGTTGTGCCAGGACGCGCCTCGCAAAGTGTGCACTGCCCGCAGCTGGTTGAAGTACAGCTGCCAGTTGGGCGCTGAGCACACCAGCCGTGCCTTCAGGAACGTGGTCCACTTCCTCTGCAGCGTCCGCGCGCCCCCCATGTCTCCCTGGCAGATGGCAAAGGGGACAAGGGCAGGTGAGCCCCTGCCAGGCTGACAGGCAAGGCTCCCAGGACCTACGCTGTGGGACTCCTACCTTACAGACGCGGGCGACGCGTGCTACCACCTGTTCGGCGTAGCAGTCGTACTCCACGGCCCGCTCACTGAAGAAGAAGTAGATCTTGTCATCATCCCCGGTGAAGCTGCCCACGCTCTCAGGGACATAGGCAGAGCCTACAAAGTGTGGCTCTGTGGCCAGGTGAAGAGGGTCAGTGGCGAGCTGTCAGGGATCACAGGGTAGCACCCAACACCCTGCACCATCCCGCCCCAGCACCCCCAGCTCCATGCTCACCGTTGAGCCAAAAGGCCAGGTACTCAGTCTTCATGGTGTGGTGGGGACCCATGTTCCGCAGGATCACAGGCTCCGTGCCCAGGAAGTTGTTGAGCGTTGCTGAATACAGCTCTCCGTCTGTGAGGGATGGAGGTTCAGCCAGGGATGAAGTGGGGTGCGCTTACCTACTTACCCAGCCTAAACCAGGACAGCCACTTACCCACAAGGAGACCTGTGTGGCCCTTAGCCGGGTCATAGGGACACTTCCCCTTGCCGTCCTCAAAGTCTCCCCGCTCCAGAGTGAATGTGAGCATGTCCTGGTGACAGAGAGAGACCATGAGGAGGGGAGGCCCTGTGGGGGGCAGGGGGCAGACTGGAGCACCTGGGGAGGGGGCGGCACTCACAATGTAGGCGCATTTGGGCTGGAAGGCATAGGTCCCACACACGTACAGGTGCGAGGCGTTGTAGGGCTGCAGGAAGCGGATGAAGTTAAAGCACTCGGTCTGCAGGGAGAGAGACATCTGCTCAAAGAGGCTCGAGGGCCCGAGACGAGGGCCACCAGGACTAGGAATGTAATGAATGTAATGGGCCAGCCACAGGCGGCAGCAGCACCCACCTGATTGCTTTTCCCTTTCTGGATACACTCAGTCTTCTTCTCCGCTGGTGCCTCCCAGGAGATCTGAGGACAGAGGGGCCCGTCAGCCATGTCATGGCTGCAGCAGAGGTGCAGGCCTACAAGACCACTTGCACACGTGGTGGCACCCACAGCCCCGCCTCTCACCACTCCTTGTAGCTCCAGAGCCTCCACACTGAAGGCGAACAGGACCTCACGCGCCCCCACATACAGCAGCCCGGACTGCTCGGTCAGGGTCAAGGTCAGGAAGTCCTGGATGCCCGTCTGGGAGAATCGCCGCACCACGGCTGCCAGCTCTGGAGGCACAAGGACGGGCCAGGAGTGAGCAGGGTGCAGACAGGCAGGCCTACCCGGGGTTCCAGATACCCCTGCAACCAGCCTTCCTTTGTCCACGAGTCTCTGGAGCCCCATCATGCTGGTTCTCCACTTGAGAGGCCATGATCCCAGCCAAGCCCCCTGCCTGGCAACAATGGGCATTTCCACACAGGCTCAGGCCCCAGGAGCTCCACCCAGGCCTCCATGGCCTTGCTCTGCCAGGGAGGAGGCCAATCTGGGCTGGTGAGGAAGAAGGAAGGATATCTCGGCCACAGCTTCCGGCCAGAGGAAGCCATCAGACTGATGGGCTCACTCTCAGGGTCAGCGGCACCTCCGGCCGGAGCTGGGTACTTCCCCATCCCCACCCTGTGATTTCCTTCAGGGGAGGAAGAAGCCCGGGGAGTTCTCTTAGCTCGGGAAACCTTCAGTGCGACAGGATGCTAATCCAGGCTGCTAGTGATGCACCCACAGCTGGCATAGTTGGCACAGGTGGTAAGAAGGCAAGGGGAAGGAGCTGGGAAGGAGGTGAAGCCTGGGGCTTGGAGCCTCACTGACACACACACAAGACCCAGGACTCACACTGTCCCTGGATCCCACGTCAGCCTCCCTCCCTCCCTCCCTCCCTCCCTCCCTCCCTTCCTCGTAGTTGCCAGCCGGTCCTCAGGCTGCCCCCGGCCAGCCTCGATCTTTGGAGGCCAGGAAGGGCCCAACCTTGGAAGAGGGTGGCAGGGCTTCATTAGCGTCTGTGCACAGCCTGTGGGAGGTGAGCTCACCCTGGGTCCCCAGAGCGCAGGGATGACACAAACACCTGACATCACCTCTTCACACAGGTGTGTGCACAGACAGGAGGCAGGGTCGCTCTGCCCTCCTCCCCCAGTGTAAGCTCCTTGAGCTCCAGCACTGGAGCACGCCCACCTCTCCAGGGCCAAGGCGCACGGGGGTAGCAGGGGGGCATATGGGGGTGGGTGACTGGACAGGCTAGAAAGGCTGGCAGGGAAGAGGCTTTGGTTACTCTTTCTGGCTTAGGTTTCTCTCTAGGTTTCCAAGCACCAACACAAGCAGGACATGCAGCCTGGCTCCCTCAATCCGGGAAGGCCAGGTCTGGACGGGGGATGAAAAGTCCCCTCAAGCCATGCTAACCATCACAGGGAGCAGCAGACCCAGGTCCTGGCCTGAATTACCAGTCCTGGGTCCCCGGGGGGCAAATGCATTTTTTGAGAAAGTTCCACACAGTTCACAAGCAGGCCAGGGACGCTTGGGGGAATTCCTCTGCAACCAATCTGCATTCCCCACAGCCGCCTTCCCTCTGTCCCCCCCCCCCCACTTCAAGCACTCACCCCCAGAAGATACTGTCTTCCGGGGCACAAGGTTCCACCACACCTCAGCCCCAGTGCCCAGGCCGCACAGCCCTGCTGCCAGCAGCCAGACGGCCCAGTACGGGGCCATGGCCCTCGCCCCAGCTCTCGGCTCCAGGCCAGCAGCCCTGGCGAGGGAAAAGAAGCGGTCAGCAAACAACCCGGAAGGGGGCCACGCCGAGATAGCACAGAGAACACTGGATCAGGGCTTTCTCCGGGGGACCCCCACTGGACCTGCCCCTCTCTCCAGCACAGACCCAGCCCCCCACACCTGGCCTCAGCCCTCCAAGACCCTGAGCCCCCGGGATCCGGAGAGGAGCTGAGCCAGGGTGAGCAGTGCACAGAAAGCAACAGCAATAAGTCCTCTCAGGCCTCAAGGCCGCCGGGACACCCTCTCTGCAGGAAGTTGTTTGGAAAAATAAAAAGGAGGAACACCCCTCTCCCACACACAGGCCTTAGAGGTGGAGTAGTTTTAAAAAATAACCCCCAGAAGCAGGACCTGAATCCACTGGGAGTGCCCCAGCCCCAAGATTTAATTCTGCCACCTCCAGAACCTGGGGTCCGAGTGGGAGGAGGGGTGCGAGGCTGGCCAAGCCCCCTACCCGGGCGCCGTGCAGCAGGTCCTAGCCCCCGCTGGTCCCTTTCTCCCAGTGCAGACAATGGCCCAGCAGAGCCCCAAACCCCGTTCCACATCAGCAGGACTGGGGCGGGAGCGGGGCCGGGAGCCCGAGGGCCCAGTTTCCCGAGGCCCCTTTGTTGCCCAAGAGGGAGGCAGGAAGTGGGTGGGATGGGCGTGGAAATGACCAGGGCTTCATCCTGTTCCCTCACAGCCTCCTAGGAGACACTGGCCCTGCGACTGGGGGGGCGGTAGGGCAACGCGAAGGCTGAGGTCTCACTCGGGGTCGTCCCCCACCCCGCGGCGCTGGCAGGCGGGGCACAGGGAGGGTAGAGAAGGGGTGGGGAGCCCACGGGTGTCCTCGCGGGCCGCGCGCACCCGGCCGGCGCCCCCTGCACTTCCTCGGATCTAGAGAATCTCTCCAACTAGGAGACTGCACCCCAGGGACCCTGGCCTGGGCAGACCTTCGAGATTGAATTCCACTGGCCCAGCCTCCCCCATCTCGGGCATGGCAGACAGAAATGGGGAACCTACTCACTTCAAAACAAAGGGTCCCCGCCAAGACCCCATCCCAGGTCCCCCCGGTTCTCCCCTCCCCCAGCCCCGGGATTTGAATGCAAACAAAGCGGCGGCGCCGGGAGCTTGGCGAGTCCGGCCTGCGGACGCCCTCTGCCGGCCCGGAACTCCAGCACCGGCAGACGGGGGGCTGGGACACTCGCCCCCGATAGTCCCCCCAACACATCTCTGCCTGGAGGCCGTCACCCCGGCTCCGGCTGGAACCCGCAGCGAGCCCTGAGGGGCTCGACAGTGCCGCGAGTCCTGTCCCCCTGCATCCCCAGAGCCGGGAGTTCGCGCGGCGAGGTGGCGAGGTGCGGGGTCCAAAAGGGGTGCTCTTCGCACCCTCGCCCACTCCGAGCGGCCGGCTGCAGACGGTGACCGGGCTCGGGCCGCAGGAGCTGGCTTCCAGAGCCAGCATGGCCCCCCTCCGCCGGGGGAACGGGAGGGCGGGAGGGGGCGCGGGAGGGAAATCCGATCCCACAACATCGGCCTCGGTCCAAGCCCGCCCCAAACTTTCCGTCGAGGGTGGAGGAGCAGGGGGCAGCTCCGGTGCCTGGCAAGGATCCCGGCCGCGCGCCGGACGGACAGCACCGGGGACCCAGCGCCCCCAGACCCGCCCGTACCCCGTGCCCCGGGGCTGCAGGGGCGGCTCGCCCCTCTCCTGAGCGCCCGCGGCAGGGTCTTGGGCGGACCGCGCTCCCGGCCAGCCGTCGCCCCCAGCGCCCCAGACACTGTCACCGTGCGCGCGGCAGCCCTTGCCCGAGCGCGGGGACAAAGCAGCGGGGCCCCGGGGCTCCAGCCTCGCTCGTGCCCGGCCTCACTCACCTCCTGCGCGCCGCTCGGATCCCGGGCGCCGTCCTCGCGCTCGGTTCCAGCCGCGCTCCGCCCCGGCCCTGCTCCGCCCCGGCCCCGCGCGCCGCCCGCCTCCGCGGCCCCCGCCGCCGCCCCTCGGTCCCGCTCTGCTGCGCGCCCCGGCTCGTGCTCCGCGCCGGCTCTTTCTCGGCCGTAGCCGCTCTCCGCCCCCTCTCCCTTGACGTCAGGCGGGGGGGGCGTTGTCGGCGGCAGCCAGGGTCGGGAAGCTAAGGCCCGCCCCGGAGGGGGCTGCGACCCGCCCGTCCGCCGCCCGCTGTGCGCCTGGGGGCTCGGGCGCGCGCCCCTCCCCGGCCCGGCCACCCCGCGCTCTGGACTCGCGGGCTGCGCCACGGCGCCCGGGAGGAGGTGGGGCGGGGGAGGGGCTCTGGGCAGTGCCACTCGGGAATCGCACCCACCTGGTCGCTCCGAAGTGTGCCCAAGACCCGCGGTGGCCGGGCTTCGTAATAGGGCTCAGCGGCTCCTCCGCCCCACTTACAGGAACGGCGATGGAGGCGCAGGATAGAAAATCAAGGCTTTTCCTGGGGAGCTGATGTGATCTCTTGGCCCCCAATTCTGTCTCCTTTCTTGGTCCCAGAGAACCTAGGCTGGAATGAGCCTGCAGGCCAGGGAGACCCCACGTGTCCTGACAGTCGATTCCTTGTTTCTCTGGCTCCAGGCAGAGCGTGTCCCCAGGAAATGACTCCTCGGGTGCCACCGGCAGGCTGGTTAACAAGTGGCACGAGCCTGCTGTTCAGATGAAAGGGGCTGAAAGAGCCACGCTGCCATCGCTGCGCCACCACTACCACCACCACCACCTTCCAAAGCCGCCAGCCTCCGCCCACGCCCACGGCTTCTCCTAGAGTTAACTTGGAGCCCTGGCCTGGGCGGTGCTGCCTGGCCAGCCCTGCTTCCGGCCAGCTGGACCTCGGAGCCAGGCAGGTGGACGGAGGGACCTGAAGGAAATAACCCACAGGCACCTGAAGCCAGATGCCACCTCTAGCTGGAGGCAGAGGGGAAGGCAGGGACCAGAGGCCCTGAAGCTCCCTCCGGGACTTTAAGCCCGGCCAGTCCTGGAGAGCGAACTTCAGGCCCTGTCAGCAGATCTGGAGTATAAATCAGCGCGACAGCAGCTTTTGTTCTGGGTTAAAACTTGGCATCCAAAAAGTGGAGACCAAAAAAGCAGTGGAGATAATTGAGAAAAGCAGCCCAGTTGGGCTTTAGTAACAATCGGGTCTTTGCTGGTGCTCATAAAGGGCCCTTCTCCCTCGCAGGCCCAGCCACAGTGCCCAGCTCCTTTCCACCAGGAAAAAGGCTGTGGCCTTGGAGATGCTGAGATAAGGGAAAGCAGATGACCCTGGGTGTGGTAGGCAGAGCAGCTTCCCTGGGCCTCTGACAGAAGGGAGAAGGGAGGACCCTACCCTCATCAGGACTGGTCCACATTCACTAAAGTAGGGGGGTGTATGGCAGAGCAGCTGCCCCCACATCCTTCCTAATTTTTTTTTTTTTTTTTTGAGATAAGGTCTCATTATATAGCTCAGGCTGACCTCAAACATACAGTGATCCTCCTGCCTCAGCCTTCCCACTATTTTGATTGTGGCCAAATGCCAACGCTCCTGACTCCTATAAATTAGATTTTGCTTTCACATTCTCTCATTCTATCCTTCAAAATATTGGTATTATTTCTCATTTATTTATTTATTTTTTCGTCCTTTTGAGACAGAGTCTCACTATGCAGTGCAGGCTGGCCTGGAGCTCATTTTGTAGCCAAGACTGGTTTCGAACTTGCAACAGTCTTCCTGCCTCAGCCTGCCAAGTGCTGGGAGTACAGACATGCACCACCACACCCGATTTCTTTCATTTATTTTATCAAGAAGATGAAACAACTGGCTCAAATTCACATAGTCAGCAAGGTCAGGAATTTTAAACTAGGTTTGGGCTGGGTGTGGTGGTGCACACCTACAATCCCAGCATTTAGGAAGCTGAGGCAGGAGCATTGCTGTGATTTTGAGGCTAGCCCGGGCCACATGAGTTCAAAAACAACCTGCAGTGAACCACACAGTAAGACCATGACTCAAAAAACTAAATAATAATAATAATAATAATGAAGCAGGGTGATGAGGTGAATTGCAGTCCAGTTTCAGTTACTGGAAGCTGAAGCAGGAAAGTCACTTTATTGCTTGAGCCTGTAACTTTGAGCCTACCCTGAGCAACATAGTGAATTTATACTATTTCTGGAATATTTTTTAGTTTTTGTTTTGTTTTTTGAGACAGGATCTCACCATGTAGCCCAGGATGGCCTTGAACTCATGGCAATCCTCCTGCCTCAGCCTCCCAGGTGCTGGATCATAGGCACATACCATCACACCTGGCTCCAAAACATTTTTTAAAAAGGTAAAAATAATAGACTCCCAATCTGTCTTTTCTATAAGTAGCCATACATCCTGGCAAGGATCCACTTCCTGTGTCTCCCACCCTCAAGCCGCCCCCAGCCTCAGGGTGAGGGAACCAGGAGACCTGAGCTCCTTGCCAGTCCACCCTCCAAGGTGGCCCCAGTGGAAAGTTTCAAAGGTGATTTGGTTTCACTGGCAGGGTCAGACTTTTTCTGTACCTCAGTGGCAGGCGCCAGGGTCCCCCAAGCCAAGGGCGTGGGCAGAAAGCAGCAGCCTCAGGGGAGTCCCTCCCACTCCCTCTCCCTCCTGCACTTCCTGATGTGCACTGTGCCTTCCCTACATGGCCCTGGCCGTGGGTGGGTGGGTGGGTGGGCAAGGGATAGGGTTTCCTTGCATGGCTGTTCATGATTCATCCTTTTTAAATAAAAGGACAACTGGTAGAGAAATAAGGGTTTCTGGGTCTTCCATTAAGAAAAACATGAAAAAAAAAAAAGACTGCCAGGTTGCGTGGTGCACACCTGTGATTCCAGCACCTGGGAAGCTGAGGCAGGAGAATCCTGAGTGTGAGGTTGGTTTGGGCTCTGTATTGAGCTCACCTGAACTACATAGTGAGACATTGTCTCAAAAAACAAAGAAAAATTACTGATGGGGGCGGAGGCTCCTGGACCTGTCTGGTTTCCCTGGGGCTAGCCTGATACCCCATTCACCCCATTTTCTCAAATGCTGCTGGTCAAGCAGAAAAATGCAAAGACATGCAAAACACCTCCTTTGCCTCACCGTCACCGTCACCCGCGGCTCTCTGGCAGGAAGGAGGGGAACCCCACTATGCACACCAGTCTCCGGTGACAGCCCCCTGGCCCATTCCCAGAGCTGCTGTCTGCTCACTGCTGGGGACATGGAAAAGCCTGGGTCACGCACCATACTGGGGATCGAACTCATGACTGCCTGCTTGCAAGGCAGGCGCTTATGCTGCTGAGCTAAATCCCCAGCTCCTTTGGGGAGCCTTCTGCGAGCTGGGGACCCAGGCAGTGGGGACACAGGAAAAGCACTTCCTCTCTACTTCCTGTTCAAGGAGGGTTATCGAAGCTGTCCACCTGGGAAGCCTTTCCCTTCCCACCCCTCCCGGCCACCAGCCACAAACAGAAGCAGGAAAACATCCGTCAGCACAGACCCGGAGGCTGCTGCTCCAGTGGCTTCCATCAGGATGTCCCTGCCTATCGCCAGGAGCTCAAGGGCCCAGGATCACCTCGGGCCCCAAGCTGGTCCCTCCTGGCTTTTAGGTCTGGTCCAGTTCCTAGCTGGTCCCACAGGGGGCCTGTTACACAGCCCAGGGGACAGGGTGCGCCCTGGGGTGACTCCATGGTGCACGCCTCTGCTCAGGTTATGGCCAGGTCTCCAGAGGTTCCCAACTGTCACCCACACCTGTGTTCTCCTCAGTGTTTCTCTCTTGGAATGAGCACATTTTGGGGGAGCGAGTAGCTGGGCTGGGGAAAAGGGCTCCGGGTGTCTGCATGGATGGACAGCTCCATGCCCTTTTCATAGGCAGCTAAGGCCAGGCCTCTAGATACCTGGAAACCCCCTGATTCAGCCTCTTGGGGCTCCTTGCTTCTCTGTGCCCTGGGCAGTAAGAACAAAGCAGGGAAATTTCAAAGGTGATTTCCAGGTTCCCAGAAGAAATTGAGTAAGTGGAGATTAACTGTTGGGAAGTGCGGTGTTAGTGTCTGAACCAGGGCAGGGTACAGAGAGCAGGGTCCCCAGATCCAGGAGGACCTGCAGTGAACTTGGCCAAGGGGGCACGTGATGCAGCCAGCGAGAGAAACCAGAACACACAGTGGTGCCGCTGGCACCCAAGTCACGCCAGCTCTGGAACGGGTTTGTTCCACCTCTCATTTGGCAAATAAGGCAGAAAAGATGTCCAGTGTGGTGCCCAGCACTGGGCCCTGCCCTGTGCCCATACCCTCTGAATAATAGATGCCCCCCAGCTCTTGGCATCCTATGGACCCAGCAAGGGAGGCAGCTGCACTTGGGGTGTGCTCAGGGCTGTGCACCTGAAGATCCTTTTATATGAAAGGCAACAAAAGGAAGCTGGGCATGGTGGCACACGTACCTGTCCTCCCAGCACTTGGCAGGCTGAGGCAGGAGGATCTTCAGATCTTGTTTCAAAAAACGAAGAAACAAACAAAAATACAAAAATAAATAGCGAAAGCTGCATACATCCATCGCAGAACAGAGTAGGCCCACTTTGGAGGGGCAATCCTTTCCAACTTCCTTCTGCACTCCCTGAAAAGCCCTATTCCAACCAGGAGTCAGGAAGGAACAGAGACCAGCATGGCCTCAGGGTCAGAGGATGGGCGCATACCCCGGACTTCCAGGTCTCAAGGGGTTCAGATGGGAGACACCTGGTGCCCCATCAGGACTCAGGACCCACAGACCTGACCTGAGGGTGGGCTAAGGAACCCACTACCCGGGTCCAGAACTGTCTTTTGGACCCACCCTGCTGCTAATCTGCAGTGCTGATTTCAGACAAACTCAAACAATGTGATCACAGCCTGGGGCCACCAGCTCACTGTGTAGCCTCCTCAGCCAGGTGGGAAGGTCCTGGAAAATGGCCTCATCCCAGTTCCCAGGATTCCACAGTGCTTGGGCTGAGGGGTTGAGGGCTCCTGCCAGAGTCTGCAGGGTCCCCAGGTGCAGGACAGTGACCATTCAGGTGAGGACTGCAGGCTGGAGGGACAGGGCACTGGGCTGGGCAGGACCTCGGGGGATAGGGACCCCAGGAACCCTTCTAGGACACAGAGGCTGAATGAAGTAAGACTTTAATTTGCACAAAGGAGCCTCACATGGGTGATGGGGAGAGCGAAAAGGGGTGGGGAGGACCTTGAGGCCCCAGGGGCCAGAGCCATGGAGACAGAGGCCTTGGGGGAGCAGAGCAGCAGGGCCCAGAGTGCCCAGACGGGTGGGGGTGGGGCAGGGGCCCATTGAGGTCCTGCTTCCTCCTCCGGCTGGACACATCTAGGGGTCGTCACCTGTCCTCTCTTGCTGCCTGCTGCAGCTTCCTGAGCCTGGTTGCTTCTGGCTCAAGGCAGGAGCTGGGGCTGCCGTCGCCCCTCAGACGTCCTTCCAGGGGCTGAAGTACGCAGCCTGTGGTAAGGACACAGATGGGCTGTGATGGTGTGGCGGGGGCTGCCTACCGTCCGGAGGGCCCTGGCCACCAAGCCTGCTCCATGTGGAGTGCTGGGGCACAAGGTTATTAAGGTTCTGGGCCCCTGATGCCAGGAGGACTCTGTGGAGTCCCTGTCCCTGCCCAGAGGGTGCTTCCTGTGCCTGTGCTCTCTCCCCACAAGTGCAGGTTTCCCAGCAGGAACTGGGGTGATCCAGTCCCCAGGAAACCCAGCTGTGCTCCAGCTTCTCAGGGACTTGCGAAATCCAAGCCCCAAGCCACAGCCTGCGGCCAGCCAGCGTGGTGTCAGCCCAAGTCAGAGGTTATGGGCACAGAGAGAAGGGGACACAGAAGAGGGGCACCTAGGAGCCCCGGGGCTGGAGGGGATGGCTCAAGCCCAGGGGACCTCAGGAAAACCCTTGGGTGCTGCTGATGGAGATTTGGAGGCCAGGAGCCAGACTGCTTGGCCCAGGTTTGGCTGGCTCTGGGTCGATTGTGACATTCACTGGAGCTGTCCGTGTGACAGGTCACGCTATTTAACTTGGTTAGTTTGCTTTTCTGCATGTGGGCTCCAGACATCACCTGCCTTGTGACAGTTATGTGGGTTCATACAGAAACGGGCCTCCTTTAGAAATTTTAGCTGAGCACAGTTGTACACAGCTGTAACCCAGCACTCAGGGAGGCTGAGACAGGAGGACATAGTCTGAGCCCTGATGAGTTAAAGGCTAGCCTGAACCACATAGTGAGACTGTCTTCAAAACAAAACAAAACTCAAATCCATTAATTCGGGGAGTGATGTTGTTGGCCTGCAGTTCTAGCACTTGGCAGGCTGAGGCAGGAGGATTGCCAGAAGCTCGAGGGCAGCCTGGACTACATAGTGAGTTCAAGGCCAGCCTGAAACTATAGAACAGACCTGGTTTCAAAAAAAAAATTTTTTTTTAATTTTTTTTAGCTTTGTCAAGCGGGTCTGAGAAAATGTGGGGTGATAGAGAATGTTGCTCTAGCAATCAGAGGGGAGCAGAGAAGCCTAAAGCGTCCCTCTGAGGCAAGCAGGAGGCCAGCCTGAATCCTGAGGGTCCCTGTGCCCTCCCCGCTCCACCCTGGCACTGGGTTCTTGTTAAGAATCCCCAGGCCCTCTCCAGGCCCCGCCCCCTCTTCTGGCCAGGGGCACAGCAGCTGTCCCGCAGTGGGGGTGGAGGTGAGAGTGGACATGCTGCTGACCCTGGCCAGCCCTGCCCAACCACTCCCCTCACTGCCCCCCTGGGGATTCAGGGGCACCTTGGGCTGGCAGCGGGACAGGAGCTCCTGCCAGCGGACATAGGTCTGTGTGGCCAGGTCCTTGAGCCGGGTGCGGTGCATGGCCTGGGGGCTCTCCCGGACGTGGGTGCTGATGTGGCGGTCCAGCTGCCCGCACAGCAGCTGCAGCTCATCCTGCCAGGCAGGGCGGAGGCGGGGGTCAGAGGCACAGGCGCTGAGCAGGCGCATCCCGGGGTGGGCAGCGGGGAGAACCAGTGTGTGTGCACCTGTGTGTGGTGACTGACTGACCGACAGCTCAGGAGTAGAGACAACTGCTGGGCACACGGGTTAGGACCTGGGGAACAGCCAAGGGACACCACGGCAGGCAGTGAGCCCTCCTGGCCCCTTGGGACACTCACCCAGTGCTCCTCAGTGACATCCTGACTGCTGACCACCACGCCGGCCAGGGTCAGGAGGCTGTGACACAGGTAGCAGACCTAGGCAGAGCACAAAAACTGGCATCTCTGACACAGCCCCTGCTTGGTCCTGTGGGCTCCTTGCTCTGGATTTTGTGGGGTGCGGCCCCACCCCAACAGCTGAACCCCTGGTTTGTGTCACTGTGGCAGATGCTCCAGGAAAGAAGTGGGTGTTGGGTCTCATGGCTTCAGAGCCTCAGTCCATGGTGAGCCGGCCTCAGGGCTTTGCTCCTGGTACATCCTGGCTGGTTGCAGGGGCATGTGACAGAGGACACCTGTCTGACTCATGGCATCCCAGAAGCAAAGAGAGACAGAGAGGAAGAGTAGATTCCAGCACCCCGTCCAAGGCACCTCCTCGGTGACTCTCTGCACAGGCTGATGAGGGCATTTGTACACCTGTTCACCGACTCCACTGTCCTTGTTTCCCTCAGTACTGGGGATCAAACCCAGGACCTTTGCACTGAGCTATAGCCCCAGTCTCTCTTTCTTTAAAATTTTTAAATTCTGAAACAGGGTCTTGTTAAATTGCTAAGTTGCCCAAGCTGGGATTGAACTTTTAAAATATTTTTTATTTATACTCTTTTTGAGACAGGATCTTGTTCTCTTTAGGCTGGCTTGAACTTGCAGTGATCCTCCTGCCTCAGCCTCCTAAGTGCTGGGATGACACCACCAGACCGGGTTTCCCCTCTCATTCTTCTTCTTCTTTTTTTTTAATCAGTACCAGGGATCAATCTCAGGACTGCCTGCTTGCAAGGCAGGTGCTTATGCCACTGAGCTAAATCCTCAGCCCCTTCCCTCTCATTCTTGCTTAAGAACCCTTGCAAGGTGACAACAGGGCAAAGGCTGACTCTGTCTGGTCAGAGAAGGGACTGAGCCCAGGGCACCCTCAGGCTCTGCTGGGTCCCCTTCGCTGACTGGACGTTAGGGTCCTGTGCAGAGAAATGACATGCAGGGAGTGTCCCAGACACAGCTTGCCCCTGGCATCTGAACCCAGGCAGCAGGCATGCGCCTCCACCCAGGGCTCTTGCTGCCTATGGGCTCCCTTTGGGCTCCTTATACCTCAGATAAGTAGGGTGGCTGCAGCCCTGTGCCCGCAGCAGATAAACGGCCCGGAGAGCGGGATGGGAGGGGTTTGGGGGGAACGCAGGACCCTACAAGGCGGGACTGAGCTACGGGGCCTGGCCCTGTGCATCTGCGCCCATCACCCGGGCCTCTTGGAGGGACTGGTGGCACCCCAGGAGCCTCTCCAGGACAGAATGACAGCACTTCTGAGGGTACCCAACCTGGCACCGTGATTGTTTTAACTTTTCTTTTTTGCTCTGCCACTTACTTCCCTGATGCCTTTTGAAACAGGGTTTCACTAAATTGTCTGGGCTGGGCTCAGATTTGAGATCTGCCTGTCTCAGCCGGCCAGAGTGCTGGGTCCCAGGTACACGCTGCCCTGCCCAGCTCTCTCTGCCCCTCTGTGCAGCAGGCCTGGGGTCTGTGCTGACCCTTGACCGAGATGCAAACTATGTCCCTGGAGTGGGCAAGCAGCTTCAGGAAGGCAAAGGCCTGGCCACTGACCTAGAATCAGCTCCCCTCCTACCAAAGGGAGACAGGACTGCTAGGTTTTTTTTTGTTGTTGTTGTTGTTGTTTTGTTTTGTTTGGCAAGATGGAGGTTGTGCACAACTAGAGGTTCAGTTCAAAGCTTTGGGGAGGAAGCGACTTAGCCAGAGCAGTCTTTGAAGAGCAGTGGGGTTTGGAGCAAAGATGGCTCTGTCAGGGCAGAGGTGCATAACCGACCATACTACACAGGTCCTGAGCAATGGGGCAGCCCATACTCCAGCACTGGGAGGCTGAGGCAGGAGGATCGCAACAGGTTCAAGACCAGCCTGGGGACATAATGACCCTGCCTCAAATAAACAAGCAAGCAAACAAAAAAAGAGTTGGGACGCGTCAGGTGCCTGGATGGCAGCTGTGAGGCCAGTGTGTTTCCCCCTCTTTACACTACGTGAGGGTTTCTCATGGCATCAGAGTACAGCAGAGCTGCAGGTTCCGTGTAACATGTAACAAGATGCTGCTGTGCTCCTGAGTGAACCTGGCTGGGCGGAGCGGGGTGGGGGCAAGGGCTGGGGTGCGAACCCAATGACCTTGGTGGAAGCCAAGGCCCTCTTGGCATGGAATAGGTTGCTGCTGAGGCACAGAGAAAACCCCAAAGGTCATGCAGCCATGGAGTCCAGCCTGGCAGGGGCTGCGGAAGGGACATACAGGGCAGGCAGGGACAGCAGGGTACTGGTGACAGGGCATAGCACTTCTCAGACCCTTCACTCCGCCCCTCACCCAGTGGCCCCAGCACCCCGGGCTCTGCCCAGGGCTGAAAGGCAGAGGTCTCAACCTTCTTTGCAGGGCTGATCCTCCCGGAGGGCCAGGGATCTGCAGAGCCCAGGGTGCCCAGGGCATTTACCCCACAGTGGGGATTTACGGAGAGGGAAAAAAGCCAATGTCTGGCTCGGGTTTCACAACTTCATTCTTATACTGATTCCCATAACTGAAGCAGTAGGGAAAATCCCAGAAAACTGTTCTGTGTGTGTGTGTGTGTGTGTGTGTGTGTGTGTATACACGCCCATGCGTGTCTGGCAGGTCCAAAAGAAAAGCCCTGTGAACCACATTTTAGGAAGCAACTTCTTCCAAAGAAAAGAAGTAGACTGGCCAGATCCTGGGGTTGGTGCACATCCCTCTATCCCATCTGGGTGCCTCCTGGCAGTGGGCCTGGGGAGGGCCCCTGGAGGTCAGAGCATGACCCGACCCAAGGGGAAGGTTCCACTGGTGGCCAGAAGTCATGGCCAAAGCCGGAATCCCCAGCAGTGCTTCTGGAAAAACAAACCAGCATAGTGACCTATACCCTGTGATCTCTGCACTGGGGAGGCTGAGGCAGGAGGCTTGCCATGATTTGGAGGCCAGCCTGGGCTAGAGTCACTTGCAGGCCAGCCTGAACTGCATCTCAAAACTCTGTCTGAAACACAAAACAAAGTCCTATTTCAGGTTAGGAATGCAGCTCAGAGGCAGAGCACTTGCCTGGCACTGGCTGGGCCCTGGGGTTCTACTCCCAGCAGTGTGATCAAGAAACAAAAACAGCTTCCGAGCGGACACCAGATGCCCCTTTCTCCCAGCTCAGGTGGAGGGATCCGGGGCTCCCTGCACAAAGGTCAGCAAAGGAAGCGTGGCCTCTGTGTCACAGGAAAGGCAGAACCTGAGTCCCCATGAAATGCTCCAGGGAAGCTGGGCATGGCAGCACCCGCCTGCAATGCCAGCGCTCACGAGGCTGAGGCAGGAAGACTGCAAGCTTGAGGCTAGCTGGGCTACAAAACAAGATCCTATTAAAAAAATTAAAAGCATATCAAATGTCATTGTGGGGGACAGGAGGCAGGCCAGGGAACAAGGCAGGCGTGGAGGGCTGGTGAGGGGCTGTGGCACGGGGCGCTGAGTAAACAGCCAGTTGCAAGCCAGCTTCCTGCTTTGTCAATTTCCAAACTCAGCAAGCCTACTCCTGTCCTGGCCTGCGCCCCAGACACCAGCCTTCATCTCCCCTTTCTTTCCTTCTTATTCTTTTTTTTTTTTAATTTTGAGACAGGATCTCACTATGTAGTTCAGGTTGGCCTTGAATTCACTATGTAGCCCAGGCTGGCCCGGGACACTCAGCAATCCTCCTGCCTCAGTCTCCTAAGTGCTGGGATCACAGATGTGGGTCACTGCACTTGGCCATCTTCCCTCAGGAAGGAAGGGCAGGGCGCAGCCAGGGCACGGCCAGTGTGAGCGATGCTGCTCCCTGCCCACTCTGTTTGCTGCCTGTACTGCAGCAAACAGAGGGAAAGGAGGTGGCCCTTCCGCCCCCTAGCTCCTCCCACATGGTGGGGACTCAGGCTAAGACAGAAAACGGGACCAGGAACCTCTCAATGTGGACACGCCTGGACCTGGTGGGATGAGGCCATGCTGTCCCTTCAATGCCACCAGCAGAGCCTGTCCCTCCCCAGGGGCGATGGTGGGTTCTCAGCAGCTCTGAGCATCCCCTTCTCGGTGCCAGAGCCTGGCAGTGCTGGGGGAGGATGTCGAGGCTGGGTGATGGTGGGCCTGGCACCCGCCTGTGAGTCCTGACCCCAGGAAACCAGGTTAAGGGAGTCAGCTCCCGGGTAGAGTTCTGTCACAAGGAAAAAGGGAAAATGGGGCATGTGGGGCTGCAGTTCCCGGGAACTGCACCCTCCAGGAAATCCCCTCCAGCCAGTGCCAAGGGGGCGGGCGGCCACTGACATGGCAGGAGCACAGCGCGGGAGGCGCCCAGGAAGCTGCTGGCTCAGGCCAGGACAGGGCGATTCCTCCCACCCCCGGTCCCCTCAAGGACGCAGTCTATGAAACCAGCCCTCCTCTCTCTCCAGAGACTGCCAGGCAGGTGACAGGGCAGTTTGCTGTTGTTTGAGGCAGGGTCTATGTAGCCCAGGCTGGCCTCAAATTCACAGCAATCCTTCCGCCTCAGCCTCCCAAGTGCTGAAATGACATGCAACCAAGCAAAGGTATTACTACCAGGGACAAGAGGACCCCACACTGGGAGTGGGTCCAGCCAGACTCTGGGGCAGTGCTAGGGTAGGGGAAAAAATGAGGGAGACCCACAGGCAGGCATGGTGGTACACATTTGTCACCCCAGCACTTAGAGGAGGAGCTGGGGTATCGTGGAGAGTCTGAGGACAGCCTGGACTCTTGACTCAAAAAACAAAACAAAAAATTAACTTTGAGACAGGATCTTGCTAAATTACCCAGGCTGGCCTCTAGCTTTCCAGCTTGAGGTCATCCTGCCTCAGCCTCCCTAGCAGCTGGGATTACAGGTATATACCACTGTGCCTAGCGTTACTTTTCTCTCTGGTAAAGTTTAACCCTACAGGACCGATTCAGGGCATTCTGACCCAGCCCAGCCCACAGAGAAAGCCCGGGAACCCTCACTTTTTGGCAGCAGAGGCAGCTGAGGCTTGGAGAGATCCCTGACATGTAG